ACCAGTGTTGCAATGCAGTAGGTTAAGCAATGGCCAGCACTGGTTCCAATTCTGGCTGCTCCATTTCCAATCCAGTTCTCTGCTAATACACTTGGAAAAGCAGTGAAGGATGGCCCAAGTGCTATGACAGATCTGGGCAGAGTTCCTGGCTCCTGGCTTTGGCCTGGCCAAGCCTAGTCTGAGGCAGCTGTTTGGGGATTGAACCAGCAGACGGAAGAACTCTCTGCTTCTCCTGCTAATAAATATTTCTTAAAAAGAGATTATGGGACCTAGTGTTACAGTTCAATGGCTAAATCCTTGCCTTGCAAGTGCCAGGATCCATATGGGTGCTGGTTCATGTTCTAGCTGCCCCACGTCCCATCTAGCTCTCCGTTTATAGTCTGGAAAAGAGGAGAATAGAGGATGGCCCAAAGCCTTGGGACTCTGTGCCTGCTTGGGAGACTCAGAAGAAGCTTCTATCTTCTAATCAAAGTTTCAACTATTGTGGCCACTTTGGGGAGTGAATGGATGGGAGATTTTTCTGTCTCTCCTTCTCTGTAAGTCCGCCTTTCCAATAAAAATAAATAAATCTTTAAAAGAAAAAAAAAGATGTAGCGACGTACATTAGAAGCACAGACTCTCCATCTATAACCCCGTACAGTTTTCAGAGGTCCCTAATTATGCAATGGTCACATTTTCCCAAGTACTTTTGTCACATGCATAGGTGATCTTAGAGGCTCAAGAACAGAGCTGGGAGACCACCTTCTGTTCTGGTTGGTTCTCTAGTCTTTGTTCACCAGTCCCTGGAAGCAGAACTTTTTGTCATTAAACCTGGCTCAGTGGTTGAGCTCATGGCTCACCAGAGAGAGCAGTCCACCATCCCCAAGTGAACTGTGGGACCCACAGAGGCAGTGCCAGACCCTTGTACGTCCAGTGTAGATGCCTTCAGGGAACAACCACTCACCAGGACCACTCCAATGCTCTCTGCAGCACAGCGGTCCCACTGGAGCCAGAACCAGCCCTCCAAAGGGGTGCCAACCTGCAAGTAATGCCTGGCCCCAGGGTCACAATATGCCAGGAGACCCATGTCATGCAGACACACATGTTAATATTTGCCTGGCTACTAGTCACTGACCTTTCAAAGATCAAATGTTTCTGAATCCATTGGCTGCTTCTTTCCCATAAGCAGAGTCTTTGTTTTGTTAAAAACCCTTTACAGGGGCCCGGCGCGGTGGCACAAGTGGTTAAGGTCCTCACCTTGCACGCCCCGGGATCCCATATGGCCGCCGGTTCTATCCCGGCAGCCCCACTTCCTTTCCAGCTCCCTGCCTGTGGCCCGGGACCCCGCTTCCCTTCCAGCTCCCTGCCTGTGGCCTGGGAAAGCAGTTGAGGACGGCCCAAGGCTTTGGGACCCTGCACCCACGTGGGAGGCCCCAAAGAGGCTCCTGGCTTCGGATCGGCATAGTATCAACCCGTTGCGGCTCTCTTGGGGAGTGAATCATCGGACGGAAGATCTTCCTCTCTGTCTCTCCTCTCTGTATATCCGCCTTTCCAATTAAAAAAAATAATAATAATAAAAATAAATCTTTAAAAAAAACCCTTTACAGAAAAAATCCTCCACTTTAAAATTCCCTTGAGTCCTCTCTTCCCAAATCCATTTGCTTCTTCTAATCTAGTCAGATCACAAATGTGGCACTGAACATATAAAAATTTACAAAATGTGGACGCTCTGACTTTTAAGCCACCTCAAATATAATTTGCCTCAATGGTGTCAAGACGTATGTCCTTTTAAAACTTTAAAAAAAATATATAAAACTGTCATAGCTGACTTTTGATATTGAAAGCAAATTCTATCTTCACATACAAGCATTCTGCCCAGGATAGCTATGTCACCAATTTCATTCACAAGGCACACACCCTTTTTTGGAATTTTCCCTATAAATGTGACCCATCCCTGGGACACGGGCTATAGAAAATTCAATTTCTCTGTCAAATTCCTTCTAAGCACATCTAGTATCCTTGTTAACACCAAGGTGGCTATTGCTTTGAAAATCTCTCCTCTCAGATCCAATTGCAGAGAAAGGCCTGAATCGTTCTGTTGTGGCTTCATGAAATGAGGCTGAAGTGAATATGGCTCAGAATATGCATTCTCGGCCATGTGGGAGCGTTATTCATATTGTTGGCAATGTGGGAGGGACGTGCCAATGCAATAATGTTTGAAGGCAAGATGCGCTGAAATTTGTAAAGAGCGTGGCGAATGTGTGGTAGGTTTCTCTCCTCAGCTGCCCAGAAGTGTTTCCTTCCTCAGGAATGTCAAGCACACAGCGACTTCGGACTCTCCGCCCCTCCCTGCCCAGTACGGGCGTGGACGCCTAGCCAGGGGCCAAAGCACTTACCTGGGAAGATGATGCCTCAAACGTTTCCTCAGAAGTCGACAGTTTCTGAACTTAGGATGGTGAGGAGGGTGACAAAGTCCCCATGCGTGTACACTCCTATCTGGCCTTCATCATGAGACCGAGCGGGCTCCTCCGGCCCCGTCATTGCCTCAGCCTCGACTCAGGACTTTCCAGAAGCCCTGAAAAAGGCGGGAAAAAGCACTACCCAGTTGCCTAGGGGGCAGGCGAATCCTCATTAAAAGGGCAACGGCCTGGGTAGGGCCCTTGGCTGCTATTTAAGACAGCTATTTATTGCCCCCTTAAGGGGCGTGGCTTCTAGGAAGTGTGGGTGGAACCTTCAGACGGGGAAGAGCCAAACACCCTCATATGCAAATAAATCTGAATATGGTAATAACTTGGTTCCCAGTGAACTGCAGGTGTCCAGGGCACCCGCCTGGAGAGACAAAGCAGGCAAGGAGGAAAGAAAATGAGAGGATGCCAGGAGGAAAAGGAGCAACTGGACAAGCAGACTGGGAGAAGACATCTCTCTGCCAGTCCCAGAACAGTGCAGTTCCACTGGCACCACCCGTGGGTCTCCTCAATAGGGGGTGGTTGAAGGGTCGGGACTGGAAGATCTCATTGACTGGAGTAAAGAGCTCTGAATTTAAGAGGCAAAAGGATCATGCTGGAAGATAGCTTTGAAAAGTGACGGAACTTGGTACATTACCAAGCACATTCCTGACTGCCCACCCAGCTGGAAGTTTTAGACAGGACTATGCCCTAGGGGAAGATGAAAGGAGTCAGGGTGGCCGCCAGTTATTAGGCAAGGACAAATCGCTGTGGACTGCCTTGGAATGGGTTGCCTTATAAAAGGTGGTGAAATGTCCCAGCTTCCCTGAGAACTGGCTCAGAGGAAGTAAAAGGGGTAGCAGATAAGACTAGGGTGAGATTTAAGACAGCACATTCTCCCAGGGATGACAATGGAACCCTATGGTCTCAGTCCCCTCCCTTCTGCTCCTGCAGCCTTTGAGGATCCATCTCCCTCAGGTTCCGCACAGCTTGCCTGGAGGACTGGGATGAAGGAGGTGATTTTAAAAAATCCCCGTATTTCAGGTGGGAGGTTCTTGACCTGGATGGGCCTCCTGGGCTGTCTGGTGAGGGTTAGGGCTGAGGACCACAACTGCTCTGGTTCCGAGGCCCTGGGGCTGGTGGTGGTGCAACAGTCATCGTGGCATCTCTTGCAACACACTCCCTGCCAAATTGATTCAAATTGGCTTGGATATGAACATATGATTAAAGGAGCGGCGCGATTCATTTATCAGGAGAGATTAAAGAGCAGCATCTGCGCAGCCTAGCTGGGGGACAATTAAGGAGCAAATCGCTAAGTGTCTGTGCCACCAGGCATGGGGGCAGGGGACGTGGTAGGGGGAAGACAACTGGGATCATCTACCAAGGGGACAAAGGACAAAAGGAGGCAGGTGGGGGTGGGGGGGTTCACTGCTTGCTGCTGTCTACTCTGGAGTCCCGCCGGGCCAGAGCTCCTGCCTATGTCCCACAGCGAGAAGTCGGAGCAATCCGGAAGGTCTACAATTAGAAGGGAATATCGAGCGAAGTGCCTCTTGAGCCTGGCACAGGGCAGATCTGCTGCTTCGTAAGAAGCCCATGCATTTTAGCAACCAGGACTGCTGCAAGGGTACAGGCAAGGGCAAGGGCACAGACGAAATGAAAATGCACTTTGGTGACCCTGTGGGTCCCAGGATGCCCGTGGAGAACTGACATCCACTCCTTTCAAGCATGGAGCTCAGCGCCCTGGCCAAGAGGCTTTGCTTAGAGAAGGACCTGGCTCATGGAGTGAAGTCCTCTGTCCTCCCCAGACGGCCTATGACACATTTGTATCACCATTTCCCCCTGCCTCAGGACCTTAAACTCTTTCTTCCTGGTATGGTTGTTCCCCAGAATGTCTGCCTGTGGAGGCATTATCCTTTGTTTTAGCCCTAGGTAAAAAAATCTTCCCCAGTCCCCTCCTTTTATCCAAAGAGAATACCTCCCTCCAAAACATGCCCAAAGTTACATCTTTGCTCTTCGATAGCATCTCATGCAATCACTCCACATGGCTCTGCTGCAGCTCTAGACCACAGCCCCTGAAGGACACGCACTGTTCTCCCTCATCCACCGGAAGCTGGCAAACACTGACAGGTGCAGTGTCTCTGTGTTGTGCCTGAACTTATCCATACCTAGGACCTAGACTGGTGCCTGGAGCCCAGCTGGCAGCCATGAAATACTTTTCCAAAGCTGAGCAAATGAACACATACATTTTTGGATGTGGACAAAGACCTCTCACCCTAGGTCAGGGTAGCAGAGGTTGGTGTTGGATTTTTCCCTCCTGTCCAGCGGAGGCCTGACTCATGTGGGTGCACAGAGCAAAGAAGCAGTCTGCAGACAGCAGGGAGTCAGTCCTGCTACTAGCATGACTAGTAGTGGAACTGAGGCTGGGCCAATCTGAACCACAGCTCGCACATCCCATCTCTCACCTCTACCTGCCCCGGAGGAGCTGCCAAGGCTCTCTGAGAAGCAGAGGGCAGAGTGAGCTCTCCACACTCTCAAGACCACAGTCCCCTGGCCTGAAGGAACAGCAGGAAACCGGCATCAGCAGGAGGAAAAGGACCTTTATTCCATACCTCAGAGAAGAGGGGGAGAGAGCACAGGCCAGGGAGTCCAAATCAATTGCAAGAGACAAGGAGACAGCAGATGGAAGCAGCACCAGACACTGCCCTTGGGCCCCTGGAGGAGCTGGTGGGACTACCTTTGGGGTGGGGGCTGGGCCATTCAGACTGCAGGTAGTCCAGTCTGGGAGGAGAACGTCGGGGCAGGGAGATGGGAAAAAGAAAACAAAGCAGGCTCAGGTCATAGGGCAGGAATTCATATCCAGTCCTCCTCTGCACTGGCCAATAAGCCCCCTTCAGTTCCTCCCTTGACCAGCCCTTAGCCCCAGACCTTCCCTCTCATGGGGAGCTTACAGCCCAGGCTATAAGCGGACAGGGGCAGGGAGGGAGGCAGTGCTAAGCCCCATGGTTCGCATAGGTGGAATGGGTTTTCTTTTAAATAGGTCATTGCACTTCACACACTGCTAAGCGGGGAGGGGCGAGGGGGGGGCTGGTGCACTGCTTCCCCTCTGCGTGTGGGGCTCGTTTGGCCCCAACCAGAAGCACCTGAGGGCTCTCCCCGAGCTGATTCTTGGATGCTAGTTCCTGGTTCTGCCTGGCAGCCTCTCCAGCTGCACAGAGAAAGGAGCCGCCTTCCCAGGAGTGAAGCCTGGAGAGGAGATTCCCCGGTGGTTCCCTGGGTGTGGGTGGGTGGGGGAGGCCCAGCTGCTGCCGTCGCCCCCTCCCACTCCCGAGGATGCAGCTGCTATGGAGAGGTTGGGGATTTAAATTAAAAAGTAAAAAGACAGCAGGCACTGAGAAAAGAAAGCCCTCGCCCTCGCCTCCGGGTGGACCCGGCAACTGAGACTGTCCCAGTCCTCCGTCCCTGAGCAGGAGGCCCCGAGCCGGAGGTCAGCGGGCCAACTCCATGAGGCGCCAGGCCACCTGCCACGGCGGCGCCATGGGCCAGGGTGCAAGCCAGCGGCGCTGCAGCTTTGAGGCAGGGAGGAGTCAACGGTTCTCTTTTCAGAAACTCTCTCCCACCTCTTCCATGTGGTGACGTCAGACACCCACAGCCTGGTGGAGAGCCATCCCACGCTGAAGAGGGTCAGCGTGTTCCGTGTAGAGCAGCAGTCAGCTGGGGGGTAGGGACTGATGCCCCTCACTGCCACCTCCTGGGCTGCAAACTGCTCCCCTGGGCTATGCATGGGTCTCCGTCAGCTTGGCTTCTGTGTCGCTGTCGCTGGTATAGTTATGGGAGTATTGTGCTCTGGAGGTGCTGTCGACAGGGTCAGGCTCATCATCTGACCGGTCGTGGGCAGGGGACTTCCAGTAGCCGGTGGGGCTGCAGGGCAAAAAATGTGAAAGACACCAGTGAGTATCCTTCCTCCCCTTCAAGTACCAAAGCCCCTGGCTCTGAGGAGACCAGCAGAGCCTATCACACCCCCAACCAGAGCCACAGGGCCAAGCAGAAACCAAGCCTGGCTTTACCTAGAAGGCATTGCAAACAGCACAAGAGGCAAGTGGTTTTAACCCCCGAAAGCTTAAAAAAGAAAATCCCAGGAAAGGGATGCTGATACACATGGGGCTAAGACATGAGTGAGCTTGGGGCGTCAGGATCCTCTGCCCTGGACATTTTGATCTAGCAGCTCCTGAGTGGAACTCGGGGATTCTGCATATCCAATACCCGAAGGTAGCATGACTTACCCAGGCCTTGGGGCAGGGGTCTATGACTAAGAGCTGTGGGGCTCCTGGACAAGTTAGTCCTAAAGAAGTTCTGGTTTTTCTGTGAAGGAGGTGTTTTCCTCCTTCCCCACGTCTTTCCTAGACCCTGACTTCGTAAGGCCTGTGAGAATTTCTGCTCACGAGGTATACAGGCTTAGGTAGTAGGGATGGCAAGGCTCATCTCAGGGTGGCCTAAAGGGAATGACCCCTTTTCTCGGCATGACCACCCAGCACTGTGGAACCTTCATCAGGCTCTGGGCACTGTGGCTCCAGCTGTCCTCTGTGTGGAGCAGCCCGGCCCACTGCAGAGAGTCAGATTATGACACCTGACAAAGGAACACAGGGTCACATCTTCTATGTATTTCTTGTACACAGGAATTCTGGGAGTCCAACTGCCTGCAATTCTGCCTTAAGAATGTGAGGAGAGGACCCAGTGCAATGGCTCAATGGCTAAATCCTCGCCTTGCAAGAAGTGGGATCACATATGGGAGCCGGCTCCCTGCTTGTGGCCTGGAAAAGCAGTAGAAGATGGCCCAAAGCCTTGGGACCTTTCACCCGTATAGGAGACTTGGAAGAAGTTCTTGGTTCCTAGCTTCAGATCAGCTCAGCTCCAGCCATTGCGGACACTTGAAGAGTGAACCAGCATCATTCTCTAAATCGCCTTCTCTCTGTAGATCTGTCTTTCCAATAAAAATGAACAAATCTTTAAACAGATGAGAAGAGTCCAGTTTCCTGGCCCTTTGAGAGTTTCAGCCCCAAACGCAAGGAGGAGGAAGGCGGGGCTTCACCAAGAAAGACACATTCTTGGTTTTCTCTAAGGTTTCCACGAGATCCAAAAGGCAACACAGAGTTCTGTGTAGGATCCATGAGCCTAGGCATCCTAGCTCTGCCATCTGGTTCTGTATCATGACCCTGGGAAGTATTACAAGGAAGCTGTTTCAGAAGACGAGGCATTGTGTCCAAGATCATAAGGCCTGGATGTGAACCTGAACGGGGACTCAGACCGCAAAGCCTCTGAGAGGGCACCCTACTGTCCTGCTGGATGGGGTGACCTTAGAAGGAAACAAGACGAAGGCTGAATTCTCTGCATCCCAGGGTGGGGAGGAAGAGGCAGACAGAATCCTTGTTCAAATTATGCAAAGTGGTTCAGGGATGGGGCCGCCTGGTTAATAGTTACCGTATTTCTCATGAATGAATTACCATTTTTAAAAGATCCGGAATAGCACAAAACACATTTCATACAAACCAGACTGAACATAAATGAGTCTCACTTGGATGGGCCAGAGGCACTTAAGGACTCTGGGGTGTCTCTGGGACAAAATTACGAAGCTCCGTGATGACTGTATAACATCAGAAAAAAAAAGTGGGGCTATTTTAGCTTTAGGGCTGTTTGAATTCTAAATTAGTGGGAGGCAGATCTTTTTTTTTTTAACGTCAACTTTCTGGGCACTTGGTGTGGAAGTCTGCTGATAGGCAGAGGGGTGCCTGGTGGAGGCAGGGCTCCAGATGCAGATGAGTCGGTGCTGAGAGCTGAACCTTTTCACCCAGGTCGCGTCCCCTTCTTCAAGGCTTGGATACACAGTTCTGGTAAGATGCTGGCAGTGGCCCAGGTGGCCAGGGCTGTGGAGCAATCAGATCATCTGGGTATGCCCCTGGGGCGCTCTCTGGCCAGTCTCCACAGTGGCTTCTACAGCCACAGGCACCAGAGAGCCCATGATCGGCAGCTCTTCTCCTCTCTAGGGTAGGAGCTGGTGCTGGCAATTTGAACATTTTAACCAAATTGTTTAAAAAGCTTTCCGCCCCACAAGCCGGTGTCTCCTTCTCAGCGCTGTCACAAACAATTTGGTAAATAAGCTAATTCCTGCTGGGAGAGCCTGGGGTGGCAGCTCCCCTCCCCTTGACTTTGCTATGGATGCTGTGTTTCAAATTCTAAATGCTCCCTGTTCCTGCTCACCAGATGGGAAGCTAAGCGACAGTTCTGCTTGCCCCACCCTCCAAATCAGTTAACGTGTTGGCAAGGACCTCCCTCCACAGACCCTTTTTCCCTGCTGGCTCTGTGTGTTACTGGCTGGGTTCTGCTGAAGTGTGCTTCTGCCCAGCTCAGCGCCATCCAGATCCTGCTCTTCAGAGGTGGTGGCTTCCTGGAGACCTGGTGGGATTGTGTGGCTGGCTGGTGGCAGGAGCAGGCTTCCTATCTTTTGTTGGAGCTGGGGTCAAGGGTTGCAGTGGGTTGAGGGCACTAGGGTCTGAAATCTGCCAGTCCTGCGTCGGGTGTGAGATAGCCCGGCTAGGGCTGTGTCTGCTTCTGGAGGGGAGGGCACAGCGCACAGAAGAGTCAGGCCCTCGGGGCTTGTAGACCTTTCCTTCCCTTGGTCCATCAGCTGACTTCCTGCCCGGGACTGGAAGGGAAAGGCTGAGATGCTAGAACAAATATTTTGATCCCTGTCTTTCTGCCTGTGGAGCGGACAATGGCTGGCTCTTAATGCAATGGTGATGCTTTTTTCTGGAGTATCCTGCAACTGGTGCAGGGGGGGAGTGACACAGCAGGGCTGAGCCCAGGGGTTGGTGTCTAAGCAGCTCAGGTTTGAAGAACAAGCTGGTCATGAGTCTGGTCTGGGTTTGAGTGCCACATCTTCCCACCCCACTAGCCATCTCCAAGCAGCTCTGATCCCATGCACTTCTTTACACATAGGTCTCTTGTGATAAAACACATCTAAAGAAGATCTAGCCGCTTCACAGCATAAGCATGCAATGGGTGTGTTAGTTCATGCACATGGGACACAAATAGTTATGCCCCAGGGGGGCTGCACTTGACTCCCAGCCCTGCCCTAGGAAGGGACTATGCCTGACATAACTGGGGTGAGCCAAAAGTCATCACCCACCAAGGGAACTGGCAACAATGGGCCCCCAGTGAGTCAGGCTCTGCCTTTCTTCCACGGTGGGGGTGTGTGCAGAAAGGGTCCTACTGCCAGGTCTCTCTCCCCATGGGAGGAGAGCCGGGGGAGGAAGGAGAGCTGGGAGGGGACTGTCACTCAGTAGGTGCTAATTTCTATTCATTAGAGCTTCACAAGATAAGCAGTGCCAAGGGGACGCCCACATGGGGGATGTGGGTAGCAGAGCTGGTGAGGGAATCAGGCGTCTCCAGGGCTGCCATGGGGTGCATGCGGTGACAACGTGGGCTGCAGCCTGTGAACCTTGTCCTCAGAATTTTACCAGGAAGGGAGACAGCTCTGCAGGGTGGCAGGTGAAGAACTGAGCAAAAGGTCCATAGTAGCTTATGGTCACTGACATACTAGCCTGAGGCCAGCCTGTTAGGGCCACGGACAAGCACCACCTGAAAGGGTGCTGCCTGGCATACAGTCACACCACAAACCCCATGGCCCCTGCACTGGGCCATGTGGAGACATCAGAGCAAGACTCCATTCATATCCTGGCCACTTCATTTCCCAGCTGTGTGACCTTGGCAAGTGATTTAACCGCTGTAAGCCTCAGATCTCTCATCTACGTAATGAACTAAGGAGATCTTTGGTATGAGCTTTTGAGGAGTAAGTGAATAAGGCGTGCTGGGGATCTAGACTGATCCCCTAACCCAGGGTAATTACCACTACCCGCAGGGAATTCAGCCAACTGGCTAACTACCTATCTTGACCCCTGGTCCCCATGGTACCTCTGAGGCCAGGCGGCCCAGGAGGAAGGCAGGAGTGGGGTCTGAGATAGTGGCCAGTGGGGGCAGGGAGCATTAGTTCACACTGGTGGGAGGGACACGCCATGCTGCACTCCGTGTCAGGTGCCACCTACTGCACTAGTCGCTCTCAGGCCGATACAGGTAGCGCATCATCAGGCTGTCCACCTCTTTCTTTCGCTTCTTCTCCTCCTTCCTCGATGGCCGCTGGGCCCGCCCAGCCTCCTCACTCTCCACTGCTGGGCCCTTCTTCACGCTTGAGCGGCTGTGGCTGGAGACAGTCGAGCCACTGGATGAGGAGGAGGAGGAGGAGGAGGAAGAGGAGGACTCGGACTCGGTTCTTTTCTTTCTCGACTTGGACTTTTTGCTCTTCCTGGAGCGCCCCTTCTTGTGCCGCTTGTGCTCTGAGGAGTCACCAGAGCTGGAGCTGGAGCTGCTCCTTCTGCTCCTGTGCTTGCTGCGGCTCTTGCGGCCACTGCGAGACCGGGACACGTCCGCCGCGGAGGCTGAACGGCGGATGCTGGTGGCTCGCTCAGGGGGGTCGAGCCGAGCGCTCCGGGCACTCTGGATGCTCTTCCGGTCATCATCCTCAGAGTCAGGCTCCAGGCTGCTCCGCTGGAACGGGACAGGTTTGTAGCTCAAGACCTCGTTGATGGCAGCCTCCAGGTCAGGGTCCAGGTAGGATCGGCGGCTCACCGGGCGGCTGCTGGTGCCCTGGGGCTCAGCAGTGGCAGAGGTCAAGCCGCGTGGCACAGACAGACTGCGGGCCAGTGATGGGTGGCTGTACTGGGAGTGCGCCTCGCTCAAGGCCACACTGGCTCCATCATCCCATTCATCCAGGCAGCTCCGGCCCAAGGACAGGCGTGAATCAGGGCTGTCACGGCCCAGGCCAGAGACCCGGCTTGAGGAAGGGCTGATGGTTCTGGGCAGGCTGTCAAGGCGGGAGGTGCTGCGACGGGCGCTCGGGGAGCCAGACAACGAGAAGCTCAGGGAGGAGCGGGCCCCTTCCTCACCAGAGCCCCGCCGAGTGGCCGAGGACGCCCGGCTCACCGGCGCAGAAACAACAGAAGCCCCATCCATGTCTGAACCCCAGCGCTTCTCCAGCCTGCGGCCGGCTCGGCTCCCGGCCTCGGAGGAGAACACGGAGCTGCACTCGTCAGGGTCTTCCCGGGGCCCAGAGGTGCGGGGCCTCCGAGGGGGCCTCTCAGGGGAGGCCGGCCGCTCGCTCAGCGTGGAGAAGAGCGAGTCCTCATCCCCCTTGCCCCCGATGGAGTCTTTCAGGGTGAGCCGTTTCCGGTAGCTCAGGGAACTCATCACAGAGGCCGGCCTATCCTCCACCCCCTTGCCCTCCTTAGGGAGGACGTTGAGGGCCGATCTGTGGGAGGGAAGGCCCAGCATGGGGGAGAGAGAGAGAGGAGAGAATGAAGAGAGAGAAAGAGAGAGAGCGAGAGAGGAGCAAACATTAAACCTGGAGAATCAAGACCAGGGGGCGGGAGGCAAAGGGGAGAGAAAACGCAGCAGCCTGGCAGAGTGGTGGAGAGAGCGTCGGAGGAAATGAAGCAAAATAATTTGCGTCAGTGAAAATAGCTTCATGGAGAATGTCATGTAAATTAGACTATTGTTCTATTTCATCACTTTTCCCCCTCTAAAACGTTTAGTTCAATTTATTTCATTGTCAACTACCTGGAGCCTCGTGCTATGCCGTGGTGAACGGCAGTGGGGCGGGGAAAGCGGCATTATCTGCAATAACAAAATGTTGTTTGGCCAAATAAATTAAACCAATTAGAGGGGGGTCTGCTGGCTGCTTGGGGTGAGTGGCTGGACTTGGGGAAGTGGCCTCTGGGGAGTTAGACAAGAGGGGAGCAGTAGTACCTGTTCTACCCAGTCTAAATGCTGTCTAGGGAAGGTGTGGGAAGGGTGCTTTGGAGGAGCAGAGTCAGCCTGAGGTGGGGGGGACGGGACCCTGTGTAAGGGGACAGCAGGAGAACGGCCAAGGACACTGCCAGCCTGGCCAGTGGCTAAGGATGGGGAAGGGGCACCCAGACCCAATATCCTAATACCACAACCATGTGGAAGGCAGGGCAGAAAGTTCTTCCAGTGAATGGGTGTTTGCAGGAAGTCTGGCGGGTAGGCGGCAATGAAAGACTGGAGGAAGAAGAGAATGGGCAGAGAAAGACAGCAGTGTGTGCCTGTGGCTGGAACCACAGTCAGGGGAACCAGTGTCTTTTTGCTGCTAGTCCTTCCTATTAAGTCAGCTGAGATTCAGCCAGGTAGTTCAACCAACATTTGTTGAGTGGGTATGTGGGAATGAAGATAAACTTGTACCAACCCAAGCCTCCTGCCTAGGAAGAAAACATTACCTGGCAAGAACAAGGGAGACACAGCCCCTGGCTAAGCAGTGGCCGAGCCTCTCCTATGAGGGGCACACACCCAGCCCTCACAGATGCCAGGTGAGCAGTGCGGATGGCATGAGGCCTGTCCTCTTGGCATCACAGTGCTGCCTGTCTATTTCTGGCAGCCTGAGATGGCTTTTTCCTCACAACACAAGACCACCCACTCACCTGGAGCTCTTCAAGCTGCCATCATCGGAGGCTGCCTTAGACAATCCTTTGTTTTTTGACAACCAAGACTTGACCCCATCGACCCGGTCCTCCAGCTCTGAGTCCACATCCGAGTCTCCCTCACTGTCAGGAGGAGAAAGCAGGAAAGTGGGCAAGGTTGGGTGGGAGGTGAGCCCTGGCTGCTCGGGAGGGAGAGCTGCAGGGGGACAAGGGCATAAAAAGGGCAGGGGCAGGTGGCATGCACGTTGTGAGATGGGGAGAAAACGAGAAGTTAGGTGAGCACATCATCCCTAGAAGCCTGCCCTGCTCAGTAGGTCACATGGTGGGTGCCCCCAATGACAAGCAGCCAACCACCCAATGAGGAGAGAAGACCACCCCGCTCATCAGCTACAGCCATTGATTTTTGGTTAAAAGGAGGTATCCTGGGCCATTCAGCTACTCTGCGAGGCTTCTTCTGAGGTTCCCCATCTGCCACTCCCCAAACTGGGGGGAGATGGCTGCTACCATTTTCCATGCCTTTGTTCCAAGATCCAGGCTACAAGCTGTACGTGACTTCCACTTAGTTTGCACTTGGTCTCCCTGGCTGATAGCATCAGCCATCTGGGCACTGGGTTAAGGAAGCCCAGGCCATGTCCTAGACCCACCCTGTAGCCTAGCCAACCTCCCTGGCCCTTAACAAACAGAAAAAGGATGGAGATTTGGGGGACGGGAACATTAGCATTTGCCAAGGAACTAAACAACAGATCTAAGACAGAATTGCCCCTAGAGACCCATGTGGGCTCATAAAGTCCCGTTTGGGGTTGTTTCTCCCAAATTTCTCTGTCTCCCGTCAGGTAGCCTGCATCCATGAGTCTCTAGCCCTTGCTCCCTGGTGCTGCTTCAGGCCACGCTGACCCTAGCACTTTCGGGAAACCCAAAGGAGTCAAAGAGAGCCTCATCACAAAGCAGGTGGGGTCTGGAGATAGCGTCTGTCTGCAGATGCTTCTAAAATCCTGCAAAATGCCTGCTCTCTAAGTTTGCCTGCCATTGATAGGCTAGTATTTCTCCTTGATGTAAATTTCCTTTCATCTGTGTCAACAGGAACAGCCCCATTCCTGAATTATGTTCTTGAATAAATAGCCACATAGGCACGCACGCGCGCATCCACACACAGAGGCACACACACACAGGGAAGCCACCAGACCTTGTTCTGGAACTGTGAGCGAGCCTGACTTCATGATGGCTGGATGTGTGGTGGTGGGGTATAGAGGAAGAATGCAGATAAATAGGCATATGCTATGAGCTTCCGTCACATATACAATGGTAACCAAGATGAGGCTGGCTGATGCCCTGGGCAACCAGGAGTTTACCAGACAGTCCCATATCCACTAATGCAAGCCGTGTGCCTGTGTGAGCCCAGCAGATTTACTGCAGTGTGCAAGCCCCCACGGAACGCCAATACCACCTGATTTATGCACCCATGCAAAAAACCTCCCTCTCTAGCTCCGGAACCTGTAATTTATCACCGCTGTTCATAACCATATTGATTGCCTTTAGAAAGGAGGTGCTGTATGCATCGCAAAATCTATGTCTACATGTTAAAAGCGTTTCTGTATAAATCTCCCTTAATACCGCGCTGTTTACTGCTTTCATTAAGGTTATGGCAATAACAACTGTATCTCTAAGTAAATCGAAACATTATTTTTCTGCCCGCCTTAGCACACTCGCTCGATAACTTGGAGCTGGGACCCAGGGTAACTAAGGAAGGAGCCACATCACTTCTCTACCATCAGGGTGAGCCGGCTCAAATATGGATGTCTTCATGTGCCTGTATGAGTGCAGGCTGAGGCATGTGTACATGTGTGTGCATGCGTACGCCTGACAGTGGTTTAAAATGGGCTCTTCATTGTACATTTTATCAGCCCTTGGAGCCCCTACTGCCCATGGATGGCAAGGCCAGAACACACTGGAGACTGATGGTTGTGGGTCCACAATACGAATTCTCATCCCTCCATTCAGAAGGGGTTAAGGAGCTGCCCTGCCTGCTCATGCCTTTCCTTCAGCTGTAGGCATCTGGACAATGTTTAGGTTCTTTTCCTTAAATAATCAGGCCCGTAAACAAACTCCAGGGGCAGACAGGCTCAGGGGGCAGTTGAAATTTTAAATGGCCGGAATTAAACCTCGCGTCAAATACAATTTATGTCCGGGCTCATGTGCTATTAGTTAACTGGGAGCCGAATCACAGGGGAACAAACAAACGGAGACAGAACGGCAGGGGATATTAATTGTGTGTGACAACCGGGCTCCAGCGGCCCTCTATCACTGTTACACACTATTACATTTATCATTAGCTCTCCTGGAGTCCCCTGCACTGGCGCCAACCCATCCTGACCAGGGGAGGAGGCATGCCAGGCAGGAGTGAGTGCTGGTGGGTGGGGGTGGGGGATGGGAGAATAATGCTACAAGAGAACAACCAGCTCCCCAAACCCACCCTGCCCACAGCCTTGTTCCCATGCACTTGCTGTTCAGCTCCCGCTCAGGGAGAAGGGGTGGGTGTCCCTGGCTTCCTGTTCCCTGACAGATAGTACCGACACGGTACCTTGGTCCCTCTACCCAAGGTGCCCGCAGAGAACAGAGCAGCAACAGCAGAGAAGCCCTGATGAGCTGCCTGAATGAGTCCTCCCAACAAAGTGACTGTCAGGGCTTTCTCCTCCCGCCCTTCATGAGAAGGCGGTGGACCTTTAAGACAAAGCACATTCTCTTCTTTATGGCAGTGCTGGCTGCACAGGAGCCCAGGGATGCTGATTAAGTCCTGCCCAGACCCAGACCAGGGAGGTGGATGAGGGTGCAGAGGGTTGGACTCAGCAAGGCAGGCTGGGTCCCACCAAATGGGGCTAAGCCCCCTTCTCTGACGGGGCCCTCCAATCCTGCCCACCAAGGGTAGAGTCCAGCAAGTCCTGGACTTCCAGAGGAGCACACTTCTGCCCTGGCTGGGGTCCAGCTTAAGGACAGAGTCTGCGGTGTTAGTATTAGAGACCAGCAAGGGACAGAGTGTGGGAGGCCGTGTGGCCATGCGTGCCGCATGCAGTGGGGGCCCAGCGGGGAGCCCAGGGTTAGGGGTGGTTAGACACCCGCGAGGAGAGGCAGAGAGCACATGCGCTCTGGTCCTCACAGTTTATTCTTTCTTTTCTGATACTTGGTCACCATGTCCTGCAAACTGGAAACAGAAAGAAAATGGTGGGCAAGGGGGCCGGAGGAAGCAGATGGGATCATCAATGGACAGGCCCAGGTGGACCCCTCAACTGAGGCCTCCTCTTTCCTCAGCAACAGCTGGCTCTGCCTGGCTGGGGGCAAAGGAGAAGGGGAGGAGTGACCATAGCCTGTGGCACTGATATCCTGTTTGCCCCCTCACATCAGAGTAGGTTCCCAGGATGGGTATAGGTCTTGAAAGCTTCTCCAGGGCCAGACCTGTTCCCTCCCACCTCCCCCTGCCACTCTGCTGCTCTTCTCAGCCCAAGACTTTGTCTGCAGCCTAAGACAGCAAATCTCTCTCTCTCTCCTAAACCATTCCCTGGGTGGGTTTTATGAGAGCAAATCTCTGGCATGGTAACAAGGCACCGTAGCCTTTAAATCTTGCTCTCCCCAGAGTGGACAGGCGCCACTGGAAACGTGGCTAAGCGGGGGGATAACTCATCTCAGACAGGCAGAGGCAGGGAGCTGGGTCCTCAGGAGGCAGTGGGGAGGGGATGGAGACAGCAGGGACAGTATCTGCCTTCTTTAGTCCCTGCCAGCTGGGCTCTGGCAGCCAGGGTAGAGTGGGGTGGTGGCTTGGTAATGGGGAGACAGGTGGGGGTTCTGCCTGGAGGCCTGGTCCCAGGGTGTCAACAGGCCTCTAGACAGGCTGCAGGTGCCATGGAGGGTGCCCCCACCTGTTGATGAGGTCCTCGTTCTCATCACTCTCCATCTCGTCCTCAATGGCAGCCTGCAGGTCACCGATGCGCTTGAATGCCAGTTTCAGGTCAGCCTGCAGGCTCTGATTGGCTGCCTCCAGGCTCTCCAAGTCCATCTCCTAGGAGGGAGGTGAACAATCTGGTGTGCATTGCTGGGGTGCCCCAGCCACCCAGGAAGAAACCTGCTCATGTGTCCCCTGGCTGGAGGAGCTGCCTGAGAGTTGCTTAAAACCCGCACAGCCTCCCTGCTCTGCTGTGCTGGGCTGTGGAGGACTGGCCCTACCTGCTGGAGACTCCGGGGTCATCCCTGAGCCGATCTCTGGTCATGCTCCTCCCTCCTCCAGTTCTCTAACAGAGAACTCCCTACCCCCTGCTCCCCACCAGCCTGCGAGGAGGTAGACGTCCAGTAGCTGCTCAGCGGGCTTCCTGAGACCCCACAGAGGTGTAGGGGTGGCAATACCAGTTCGTGCTTCTTGCGGCTCGCCTCGGCCTCCTTCCTGGCAAGCTCGCCCATCTCCTCCTTCGTGTCCCGGAGCTGCCGCTGAAGCCGCTTGTTCTGCTCCTTCTCCCGGTTTTCAGCTGCAATGCGCTGATCCCGCTCCTCGGTCAGCTTCTCCATGTTCTCCTTGAGCCGGCTGGCCAGGCCCTGGATCAACAGAAGGGGAAGATGGGTCCATCAATCAGGCAGAGAGAGAGGTGGGCTGAGGTAGGGTTCTGTGTCAGGAGCCCTGGGGCCCAGCTCTGGCTCCACCACTCATTGTCTGTGGCAGGAAAGAAGCTCAAATCCTCAGCAGCTTCCGTTGCTTTGCTGTAGGGAGAGGGGGTCCTTGAGGACCGAGTAAGGGAGAGAGAGATCTTGAACGCCCCTCAGCAGATGAGTGTGCTGTTCCTATCAGCAGCAGTACCCACATGGACGGTGGGCCTTGGGTGGGTCTGGGCCTGCCTGCTGCTGGGCCCTCCCTGCTCAGCAGGGCTTTTCTCTGAGACCCTGACCCCAAAAGATAGATGCTGTGCTGAGGGGTAAGGGGCCTCCATGAGGGCTCTAGGGTTAGAAGGTGACCAAGCAGGGGTGACTCCTGTGCCTTGCAGCAGGATAAAGAACAAAAAGTTGCCAGAAGACAGTGCAGAGGCAGGAGTGAGAGAAGGACCCTGCATCTAGCACTGACCCTCCTGTTACCTCTGTCTGCCCCCAAGCCTCCCTCCGCATATCTAAAATGCCAGACTCAGGCCATGTGTGGTTAACACTGACAAATCTGGGCTACAAGCTTGCCTTTCAGAGAAACAGAGTAGAAGGAAGGGACCAGGTCCCAGAGCAAAGGGTACAAGTCCAGTAGGGGGGCCCTGCAGCTGCTGGCCCAGGGGCTCATTTGCCTGCCCCCAGCTCCATGCCCTTGGACAGCCTGCTGAGACCTTAGTGTAAAGTGGGTTTCAAAATATGATCCTCACCCTGGGGTTGTGTGGGCAGAAAATGAACTACTGCGCCCCCATGTAGTCTAGTTTTCCTGGGTACTAGGGCTTCAACCAGAGGCTGTCACGCCTTCTGCTCACAGCAAGAACATCAACACCTTCCTGTTTCCACCCTTCCCTGCATCGATATGGAAGGCAGGAGGATGCTCGGCCTCCACAGTGCAACCACAGCACCCAGCCCTGACAGCTAGGATGTAGGCCAATGTGGGTGAGTCTAGAAGCACAAGGAAGAGGGGGTAAGCCAGGGAGAGTGCTTTGCTGCCTCCTGCCTCCTCTCTCAGCTGTGCTGGGGAAGTGTGAGGAAGAGAAAGCTTGGAAGTTGCAGGGCGGAGGGCTAGTAGGACTGAAGAGCATGGAGGTGAGCAGAAGGGAGAAGGGGAACAGACTGGGGAAGAGAGTCAGCCTGACAGGAACAACGTGCAAAGGGAAAGACAGTCAGGTGCAGATGGAGAAGAGGGAAAGGCAGAGGCAGGAAGGGTGGGAAGGAGTGAGGGAAAAAGGGCATCACCAGGCAGGGGAGAGGAGGTGCGGCAAGATGAGAGCAGAGACTTCAGCCCTCACACAAGTGCTGCCGCCCGCTGCATATTTATGACCCTGCCAGCGTGCAGGGGGATAGGCGGGGTGGGGGTGGGGGGAGCGTGTGTGCAGGAAAATATGAAGACGAAAAGCTAAGCTGCTCTGGTCCCTTGGCAGAAAGCAAGCACGGAAACGGAATATAAAGCAGGCCGGCTCCATGGCGCCCATGGAGGACCCCCGCTCCTGCAGCAAACCCAGCAGCTTGGCGGGGCCTCAGAGGGGCGCCCGGGGCCTGCCCAGCTCCATGGAGCAGAGCATGCAAGCCGAGCATGCGTGGCTCCTGGCTGCTCAGGTTACAGCTGGCTGTCAGGGACAGCCCTGGCTGGCTCGCTGCAGACCCACCTCCAGCCGTTTCACTTGGGTCCTTTCGAACTCCAGGCGGGTCTCCAGCTCCCGAATCTTGGCTTCCTGCCTGCTCACAAGGGACTTGTCCACCATGGACTGCTCCAGGAATTCCACCTGGCTCTGGAGAGCTTGTAGCTGGGGAAGAAGAGACGCCATGGGAAAAAAAGAACTGAGCCCAGGGAGGGAGGCGTAGGGAGTCGGGCCAGGGTGTCACCACAGTGGACCGGAGGGCTGGGATAGGGCAGGACACAGGGGCAGAGTGGAGGGAGGGGGCTTCTCAGCTGCCCCAGGGCTTGGCACAGATTCTGCCTTCTGAGAGAAAGGAGAAACCTAAGGCCCAAGGAGCCAACAGACACACAAACGAGGCACCAAAGCCAGAATGTCTGTTGTGGTAATGGAGCTCCAAGCCCAGCTCCTTCCATCAGCCTGTACTGCCTGTGGCAGAGAGAAGTGCTTGGTTTTCCATCCTGGGAATGTGGGGGCCCTCCCCATTTGTGGGGTCCCTCACCCTCTCTCTGTTAGGAGAGCCCGCTTCCCACCTTCTCCTGCAGCTCTTGCTTCTCCTTGTTGGACTCTTCGAGTTGAGCTTGGAGGTCATTCATCTGAGCCAGGTCCCGAGAGGCCTGGAGAAGGGGGTGAAGGCATTGGGGTGCAGGGACCTCTGTAAACAAATGCCCAGCCCCCAGCCCACACGGAGGATCCGGCGCCTACAGAGAAGTGGCTGCACTGGGGGCCGTGGGGGAGGTCCGCAGGATGGCCTCCACAGCTGTGGTACCTGTGCCACGGCCGCCTTGTGCTTCTTCATCAGTTCGTTCATGTCCTCCTGATCCTCCTCCAGCCGGTTCTGAATCTCATTCTTCTCACGCTGCAGGCGGCTCAGCTGCTCCTCCAGCTGGACGGAGGCAGAGGCGGATCAGAGGGCACGGGGGTCCAGAGTGCTAGCCCGAAGGCTCCTGGTGGCAGGATGGGGCCTCCTCCCACATCACTCCAATAGGTAGGAGAGCGGCCAGAGTTGGGGAGGACCATGGGAACCAGGCCCACCCTGGGGAGAGGGCTCCAGGACCAAGGCTGCTTAGAGAACTGTGTTGTGCTCTGGGCCAAGGGAATGACGACGGGAATGGCTGTCTCTGCAGCCTGGGCAGACCCTGGGCTTCTGGGCTAAGTGACAGCTGCTTTCTGGCAGCTCCTGGGAGGCTAATGAGAAGGCAGACAAAGCCTGCCCGGAACAAACGACCCATCAGCCCGGCACGGCCAGCCCAGGCCCTGACCCGCACACTCTGGCTGCCTCAGGCCCGGTAGGAGGACTCGGTAAGCTCCCTGGCTCCCTGGCTGGGATTCTCCCCTGGGACCGCCCACTCCCCTCAGCCCAACCCCCACAGCCAGGCCACTTCTGGGGTTGGGGGAGGGGAGGAGACAGCCAACAGCAGCTTCAGGAAATGAATGAATCTATTAGCCTGTAATTCCAAACCAGAATGACTGCGTTGGCTCCTTCTCGGCCCCATCCATCTTGTTACTGGGCTGTGGGGAACTGGGGGAAGCCTCTGCCAAGGAATTTATGAACTCGGATTTAAATAAAATGGTAATTTTATAACAGCCTTTTTTAACACAATTAAGGAATTTGAATTACTCACCTGAAAACTGCTGAGGGGAGCACGGATGTCACAGGAATAAGCCCAGCCCATGAGACTGGTATCGCTCAGCAGCTGAGGGACTGCGGCCAGTGGGCCGTGATGCCTACCGCCCAGCCTGGCCTCCTTCCCCGCCCTGAGCCCTGCCCAAGGAGCTACCAGTGGCTGCAGCGAGTGGGGGAGGTGGAAATTAAAAGGGAGGCATTAAATAAGAGCTCTAATTAGCTGCCGCCTGGGCTTGTCAGTGGGCCGGGCAGGGAAAGGGGAGGGCGGCCGAGCCATCCTGTCCTCTTATCGGTGCTTCTGCTAATCTCCAGGCACCTGTTTACATCCCTCAGCCACATTAGCTGCCTTTATTTATGGTGTCGGGGCCTGCAGCCAAGCTCCCACAGGCAGGTGGTTAAACGGGGAGACGGGCCCTGGCCGGCTCCCTCATCTACCCGCCCCTCTCCAAGGCCTGTGCTCAGAGTGGGAGAGACAGGGAATGGGAGGCCCGCTCTTCTGGCAGAGAGCCCTGTGGTGAAGGAACCTGTTCAGAGTGCATGGAGCCACCATCGCGGCTGCATTCTCCCTCAGCACCGCTCCCCCCGCCCGCCCCGGGCCCTGCCCTGCCTCCACTGCACCCTCACCGCAGTCTTGGCTTTGGCGATATCATCAATCTGTAGGTGCAGGTCTTCAATTTCCACCTCCATGGCTTTCCGCGCTTTGACAGCTGCTGCACAGGTGAACTCTGACTCTTCCAGCTGCACACAGGCCCCACCCCCGCCCCAGAGAGAGGCGTCAGCCATCCACTGCAGGCCGGAGGCTCTGCAAGCTGCTGGCAGGGCTGGAGGAGTCCAGTGGCTCTCCTCACCTTCCTCCTCAATGCATTTAGACCACAGGGCTGTGGCCGTGTTGTGATGCAATGGCATCCCCTCCTCTGACAGGGACAGGCAAGCATCGGGCCACACCCACACCACACACTACCACACTGCATGGCACACAGACCCTCGGGAACCTGCCTGCTGGGAGTGGATTCTTCCCACCACTCTCCTTCAAAAGCTGCTGAGAGGAGCGAGAGGGAGTGAAAGAGAGTGGGCACCTGGTTCTTCAGCTGGGCGATCTCCCGCTTGCTGGGCGCGTTGTTCTTCAGGTGGTCCAGCATGATCTGTGCATCAGCCAGCAGGGCCTTGGTGCGCTTCAAGTCTTTCCGCAGCCGCTTCTCTGACTCAACATCTCGCCGGCTCACCTGGGAAGGGAGAGGACTCCAGCGGTGGGGACTCTGGGCTGCACCACAGGAACTCCCTCCTGTCTACTGCAAGTCCACCCTCACCTCACCTCAATCCCATAGTCCCCATATGAGCAGTGACATGGGAAGTGCCAGGATCAGGCCAGCCAGTGAGAAAGACCTGGGGGTGCCAGTGCACAGGACTGCCCCACCCCTAGAGATGGTCATAGGTGCTGCAGAGCCCTCTCTGCTTACACTGGGCCCAGCTTCCCGTTGGCAGCCCCCCAAGTCACTGGCTGCAGGTGTTTACCTGATCGTTAAGTGCCGTGAGCTTGCCCTCCAGTTCCCGCTTATCCCGCAGCACCTTCTGCTTGTCTTCATACTCCTCCTCCAGCTGCACTTCCATCTGCTTCAACTGCCCAGGAGACACAGACCCATCTGCCCAGAGCCACACAGTCCCCTTCCCTTCTGGTCCCTCAGCCCAGGAAGCCAGTGGAATAGGGCTGAGCCTGGACTACCCCTGACCTCTGACCCTGGAGTTCAGAGCAGCCTACCAGGGGAGAGGTGCTGGCCAGCCACAGTAGGAGGTTTCATGGCAGGGTGAGCCTGTGGAGCGGCTAGCAAGGAGTGCTGGCATAGAAAGCTGGACACTCCCACTTCTCAAGGGCCCAAGCTTCTCTGGACTTGGAAGGAACACCACCCCAGCCAACACCAGCATCCCAAGACCCTTGGTCCGGCAAGATAATGGCAGACCACATGGCTAAGACAGGAAAAGCAAACCTCTTGCTGGGACGGATGCTTGTTCTAGCAGTTCAGACACTGGGATAAGATGCCCCTTCCCCTATTAGTGCTTGAGTTTGACACTTGACTCTGTTCCTGGCCCCAGCTTCCTGCTAAGGCAGATGCTGGGAAGCAGAGGTGACGGCTCAAGTAAATGGAAGACGCACATTGAGTTTCCAGTTCCTGACTTTGGCCCTCCAGGAGTGAGGGAACACCCTTTCTCATCCATCTTCCTTGGTTTCTCTCAAATGATCAGCATTGAATTTAAAAAGAAAGAAAGAGGGGAGGGAGGGCGGGAGGGAGATAGAGGAAGGAAGGAATGCCAGCCCTTACTTGGAAGCTGCTGTGGTGTAGGAGACAGATGAGTGCCCAGGTGCCTCACCTTCTTTTGACAGGACTGCCGGGCCTCCTCCACTTCCTCATCCCGGCTCTCCATCTCCTTGGTATGTGTCTGCCTCATCCGCTCCATCTCCATCTCAAGACGCAGCTTGGCCTGCAGTGGTTGAGAATGGGGTCAGAGTTCCATTCTCAGCAGCCTGCTGACTCTCTCCTGCCTCGCAGCCCTCTCAGATCTCAGAGCAGGTGCACCCAGCCAGGTTCCTTGACTTGCATCTTGCTTCCAAGGCAGCAAACTTCTCTAGAAATGCAACTCCCTTTACTAGGTGTCTGGCATTGGCCCACAGACAGGCTGTTGGGGTGGGGACAGCTCTGTAGCTTTTCCACTTGGCCTGCAGGCTCCAGCTCCCTCAACTGACTGGGGGATTTAGTGGTAGGCTGGTGGGGTGGCCCAGGGCCCTTTGGATCGTCCCACGCTCCTCACTCCTAGAGCTTGATCAAGTTGTGTTTTTGTAGAAATCTCTGTGAGAGCTTAATTGTCTTCATACTGTGGCTGGCACAGATCAGGTGCTCACTCAACATTCTGTTGAGTAGGTGAGTAAGAGAGCAAATGGAATAGATATGGGATCCTGCCCTCCTCTGGCCCTTACCCAGAGTTGGCTGTGGGGTTGCTGGCACCTCTGCAACACCTCATCCCTCCCTTGGCCAAGCCCTCCGGCACCTGTTCCAGCATCTGGATGGTCCCCGCCTGCTCATCTAGCTCCTCTTCCTGATCTTTGACCTTGGCCTCCAGGTCTCGAAGCTGTTTCTTGACCTTGGCCAGAGAGGCCTCATCCTTGGATTCTTGGGAAGAAATGTCCTGGAGCTCAGCCTCTAGAGAAACAACCTTCTGGGTAAACCCTGCAATGTCCATGTCTTTTTCCTGGGAGCAAATGAGAAGACAAGGTTGGGGCTGGATGGTGAGGCGGATGGGACAACGTGCAGATGGTGGAGGTTCCACCCACCTCCAGCTGCTGCTTCAGGCTGAAAGCCTCAGCTAAGAGCATGTCCTTCTCCCGCTGCAGCTTCTCCCGCTGTAGCTTCTCCCGCTGAGCCTCCTCGTGTGCCTGTGAGAGCTCGCTGTCAAACCTGCAAGGGTGCAGGGCAACTCTGTCATGTGCAGGGAAGACAGCCAAGAGTTCGTGTCACGGACATGCACAGGACACCTGCAAGGCTGAGGTGAGTGTGTGCTGTCTTCAGGCGGGAGTGCTGGTAAGGTCAGAGGTCACAGGTCAGGCTGGGGTTTGGAATGGGGGCCACTTCATTGAATGAGCCCTTTTATAAGATGGACTATGGGGACTCATAGCCTGGGAAAGGCAGAGGGGACCCTCTCCTTAGGACTCAGGTCTCTCCACCTTCTATTTCAATAGAACAGAATGAGGGGCCAGGGTGAGGGAGGAATGGGAACCAGAACGAGTACAAGTACCTCATCTCACTCACGCCATACAGGGTAACTTGGCAACTGCAGATAAAGCTGCTGGTTGCTGCGCCAGCCTCTGGGGTAGGCACTGGCCAGATCCACCTGCCCCAGCAGTCCCCTGTCCCTGACACTCCCTGCGTGGGTCCAGTAGTCCCCAGCTGGCCATGTGCTCCAGTGGGCACATAGCTCAGGGTCTCTGCTCCTTCATTTCCTAGACTTGGGTTTCCCGCCCATTGATTCTGAATAAGGAGTGAACCATGGCTGCAATTTCTCTTAACACTGTTCCTGAATAGTTAACAGGTTCCCATGGAGACTGAACAACTCCCCCCACTACTCCCACCCCACATCTGAAAAAAGTAAGAGAACCCCGGGTGGCTGAAAGCTAATAAGTTGCCCAGCGGGGAGTGTGGCAACATGGTAAGGAGGCTGGGCTGGCTCTGGCATCAGGGTGCTCAGAAGGGGGAGACCCACTGAAGGTGTCAGGCTTTGTGTAAGAGGGCAGGTGAGGTGTGAGAGGAGGAGAGAAGCAGATCCTGGGGTCCTTGGGTGCTGGAAGGAGCCCAAGGCCTTCCTGCTTCCCCTTGCCCTTCCCAGGGTGGATGGCTGCCCAGTGGGGAAGGTGGTGGTGTATCTGAGAAGCCGGGGGTGACCCAGTGTGGCTCGGAGAGCCATGGTTGGGAGGGCTGCCCCTTCCCAGAAGCAAGGGTGCCTCTGCTAAGAAGCCTTCCCCTTCAGTGGGGAGCCGGGGACCCCCACTGCTGCCAGGGTGTGTGGGCTCCTCCATGTTGCTAATAAAGGCACCCCATTCCCTTCCACAGTCAGGGAAATTAATTTAGATTGGATTTTCTCCTGTGAGGCTGCCCTCCCCCCCTCTGAGTCATTACCGTAATGAGATGGAAGTGGTGCGGTAGTTTAGCCACGACATGAGTCGTAAGAGTGTTTGTGTAGCTGAGGCAAGCAGGTCTGGGGCCAGGCTGGGTGGGGGTAGGGGGCAGGGATGGAGGCGGTGACAGGTGCACACCTGGGGAGCACATCTAAGAGTGGAGGCCTGTGCAGGCCTTTGATGGAGATCTGGTCTGCATTTCTCCTGGAGGTTGGGAGTGAACTTCTGTTAACCTGCCAAGACCTGTGACCACACCGGCAAGTCCACCAGTCAAATTGAGGTCCTCCTATGGAGGAGATAGAGGAAGCCCTGTCTGGCTGCTCTAGAACATTCTCTGGGCCTAGGGCAGGGGCCCACTCACCTCCTCTGTTTCTTCTCCAGCTCGTGGTTGCGGACCTGCTGGCCCTCCAGGTGTAGCTTGGTGTCTTGCAGCTCCCCAGTCAGCCGCTGGCATTTCTTCTTCAGCTGCTGCAGGGTCCGCTGGCTCTCATCACTGTCGGCTTGTAGGTCCCCAAGCTAGGGGGTCCAGAGGGGTACACAGTCAGCAGTATGGAGAGCAAGGGGACACCCAAAGGGGAGGCACAGAGTTGCGGTCATCCTGGGGACGTGAGGAGCTCTAATGGTGCCTGTACTGAGACTGGCTCCTTACAGCGTCTGCCTGCCTCCGGCCAGACAGCTGGGCAGCACATGGTCCCTCCCAGGCAGGGGCCCCGGCACTGCCCATTGCCTTACCCGCCTCTCCAGCTGCCTTTTGCTTTGCTGCTCCACCTCCAGCTTGTCTTCAAACTCCTGCTGCAGGTGCTTCTTGGTGAAGTCCACCTCTCGCACTGCTCGCTCATACTTCAGCCGCCACTCACCACCTGTGTGGTTGGGGGCAAACGTGGGAGGACAGAGGTGAGAACAGCCCCAAGAAAGGAGAAGGGTGGGGCAGTGGGAAACCACAGGTGGAGTCAGAGAGGTCCCTGGGTACGTGGCTGGGAAGCCCACTGGGAGAAGACTATTGGGAGGGTCCTTATTCTTCCCATGTACTACCAAGTCAGGACCCCGAACCCATACGTTGTCCCTATGGTGATAACTCCCTGCATTTCCTGGTGCCTCTTCTTTCTCATTTGTTCCTTGCACGTTAGTCTTAGAATGGTCCTCCCGGGAAGGGGAGGCAGGTGCGGGGCAGGTCATGAGGGCCTGAGGTAGGCTTCAGTTCAGGCCATTGCCGAGCTCCCCCTGCCTCAGACTCACCGGTGTCATCGTCGTCTACCTCACCATTGAGCTCGGCCGCCCGGATGAGCCGGGCCTCCATCACCTCCATTTCCATCACCTCCATCTGCTTTTTCAGGGCATCGTACTGGCCCTACAGGGGTGAGGATGAGAAGATGGCTATTTCACCCGTACTCAGAACCACCCAAAGGCCCTAGGCAGGCACAGGACCCCACTTTCCCTGGGAGGTCGGGCTAGTAGTGAAGCTGCCAAGTGTCTTTGGGGGATGCAGTCACAGCTGCTGTCCTCAGCCCGGCCCCGCACTCACCTGCAGTTCTTTCATCTCCTTCTCCGCTCGGAGCCTCTCAGCAGTCTCAGCGTCCAGCAGCTGGGAGGTGGACTCCCCAGTGTTCCGTTCATCTGTCAGTTCCGATGTCAGCTCTGAGATCTGGGGTTGGGGGGAGAGACATACCTCCAGCTGCAGCACCTGCCTTGCATAGCCAGAACCACTGGGCAGGGCAGGGGCGGATCACAATGATGGTGGGTCCATCTGCCTGGTGGCAGCCACCACTCACCCGGGTCTCTAGCCGGTCACTGTTGAGCCGCAGCTCATTCCGCTCCTTCTCCACCTTCTCAAGCTTCCCTCGCAGCTGCTGGATCTCCTCCTGGGGAAGTAAGGAGGGAAAGTGGCCTGGGGTATTTCAAGGAGTCAGGGCTCTGGGTCTGCACCCTCTGGCACAAAGCTGGGGCAGCTTGGGTCAGGACATCAACTGAGAGGCAAGTCCCCAGTAGAAGAGTAGCTGCTGCCCAGAACTCCTGTCCCTAGACCCTGAGGAAGTCCTAAATTGTATCCTCAGGGGTGCTAGCACCCCAGAGGGACCCTTGTCTGATGGGCAGGGCTCAAGAACACCCACTCTCTGGACTAAACCTGGGGTGCCTGGGAACCATGATATTCCTTACGTCCTTGCTCCGGATCTGCTCCTCCGACAGCTGCACTTCAATGAGGGGCCGCACGGTGGTGAAGAGCTTCCACCAGGGCCAGTCCTTCACTCCCCTGTTCTTCTTGATGTTCTTCTGCACACAGCGGATGGCCAGGTCCTGGATCTGCAGTTGGTGGGAGGGGCAGGGTGGAAGGCAGGGCTCTCAGCTGTCCCAGCTGAGCCTGGCAAGGATTCTCATCCCCTCGTGCCACCAGCATTGCCGTTGGGGGGCTGCTTATCTGGTCCCCAAACACTTCCCCACCCCCAGCCCACATTTCCCTCTCAGGGTAGGGAGCACGGCCCTGGGCACTAAGCGCCCCACCGTCATTAGGGATAATCTCATCTGCTTTATTTGCTGCCTGATTATTTCCAGCACCCTGGCCTAGCTGTGCTATAAAACCTAATCTTGCTGAAACACAAGAGGCGGCAATACTGGCTGGTTTATGGACTTGCTAATAAGAAAAGGAGTCGCTGACACAGCTCCTTAATCTTCATAGAGCAGCCTATGGTGCAGAGCCCACCTTAGTCTGGGCTCTGCTCCCCAACCCCTCCACCCAGCCCTCCCACCAGGCCAAAGGGCCTTGTGCTGCATACACTAGCCTCTGGGAGCTGCCTGCTCCCTGCCCTGGCCAGGGAATGGCATTCCAAGATTGCCCACCTCTTCTCCCTAGGTGGTAATTACCCAGCACCCCAAGCTCAGCCTCCCTGCCCTGTACTTGCGGGAGAGCCCAGCTAGGCTGGGCCAGGGTAAGGGCAGTCTTTAGAGCACCTTTCTCTTCTTGAAGTGCTGGCGGGCAAGGTAGCCCCTGCAGGCTGCCTGAAACAGGGTCAGATGCCTACTGGTCTGTTCATCCCGCTGCTCTTCCAGCCGTGCCAATGTGCCTGCCCGGAAGAACACCTGCAGAGAAGCAGTTTGGTGAAGGCCAGAGTCTGGACCGTGGATGGTTCTGCTGAGGGAAGGTGAGGAGCTGGAGGAGCAGGCAGGTCGGGGAGTGTGCCCGTGGGCTTGGCAAGAGCCTGAAAATCCACTTGTCCAGGAAAGGAGGGCGGAGTGAGAAGAGGCCCTGGGAAGGCTAAGCCAGAGGGAGGCTGGGATGGGAGGAGCAAGCCGGCAAATCTAACTTCCAGGCCAGAGGAGAGGAGAGACAAAGGAGAGACCCCTGGGGCAGGGGAGGACCCCCTTTGGTCAGGGCAGCCATGGCTTCTTCCCCTGAGGATTGCAACAGCATGGCCATGCCCTGTGCCACACCCCACTTAGGGCCCACCCACTGTACAGCCAACAGGAAGCAATAGGGAGTTGCTGTAGGGGAAGAGTGGGACAAATGGCGGCAGTGGTGGTAGGGGGCTTCTGCTCTTCGGATCCCCACCTGTGCTCAGCTTCATGTAAAGGCAGGCTCCTCTATCAGGTCCCAGCGCCCCACCTCCACCCACCCAGGTTTCAGCTTGTCATGAAGAAGTCAGTGAGGTGGGTGGAGTTGGCAGGGAAGGCGACCTGTCATACAGGTTTGGGGGGTGAGAGAGCTTGCAGCTGAGTGCCCAGCAGCTGAGCGCCCCCACACCCAGCCTTTCCTCACTACTCTCGCTGCCCTAGGATGGCGCCAAGTCAAGGTTCCCTGCTCACAGAAGAACAGTGAGGGGCTGGGGGCAGCCAGCCAGGGAGTAAAGCACTCTGGTATCCTGGAAGACACGTAAAGGCATGCTTGGGTACATACAAACCTCTACCTGGCACCTGGTGCCGAGAATGTGTGAATGCCAAGGGAAACAGGCAAGGCAAATGATCTCAGAGGCCCCTTTAAAGGCAGACATGAGAAGAGGGCTTAAGCTTTCTGCTGAGAAAGCCATGCTATGGGCCCATTCACACTCCCTGCTGACTCTGTGCCCGACAACACAGGACTAAGGGCAGTCTCCCAGGGCCATCTCCTTCACTCTAAACTCATTTTACAAAGTCAGAGGCCCTTAGCCCGTGCCTGCCCCTCCAGAGTCCTTTCCTGCACCCTCAAGATCCTGTGGTCATAAAAAAAAAAAATAAAGATCCTCTGGTCTCTGATAAAGGGCCCTCCCCATGCTGAGGCAAGGTGATGGACACAGGAGCCCGCCTTGCTCACCAGCTGCTGCAAACCCACAAGGCCTGTGTTTTCTTCCCCTGACCAGATGTGAGTAGCAAGCATCTGGCTTTGCACCTGGGACACCAGGAAACCCTGGGGCTCCTGGATGATGCAGGACACAGAGGAGCTGTGCTGGTAGCTAGGGAGAGGAACAGCCCAAACAGGCCCTTTCCTGTTCAAGTTGTGCCTGAGAAGCTGGGATCAGGCTTGGATGAGATGCCACCCCCAGTGCCAGCCAGCAGCAGCCCAGCCTGCTGGAGGGCAATAGCCTGGGGGAGAAGTCAGGTGTGAATGGAAGGAAATCCTTGATTGCAGGCAGTTCCAGTGAGGAAGCCAGTGGGCCAGCAGAGGCTGAGCTCACTGGGGAGGTTGGGGGAGGACAGAAGCCGGACTCAGAGGGTAGACGCAATAGGAAAGCATAAGCCATGACTCCTCAGGCAGGATGGACACAGAGCACGGGGAAGGCTTAGTAACCTTCGAGCCTGTTCGGCAAGATTCCACCTCACATACCCCATGGGGCCGAGGCCGAGTCCTGCCTTTCTGCTGCTGGGTGGCCAGGTCCAGACCCCTGTATCTCTGGTGCCCCACTGCTCTCCCACCCCCACCCTCGGAGCACACATGCAGGAAGCTACTTGTGCAGGGGCCCCAGTTCCATGCGGAGAGGCCCACACTCCACGCAAGACTCCCTGCCTGGGGGTGGGAAGCTCCTGCTGACATCCAGGCAGAGGTAGGCCTGCCTTTCCATCAGCATGTTCCATTCAGGTGAGGAGTCTGGCCTGGGCAGGTAGTGGCAGCAGAGCCTGCATAGCTGAGTCCTGTGTGCTCCTCTGGGAACCTGGCCGCTTCAGGCAACTTGCACAGGTGCTCTGCCCGTTTTACGGATGGCCTCTCTGCTCCTTTCCACTCCCCACGCCAAGATTTAGGCCAAGTTCAAGGCCACCTTCCAACACACACATACCCATTCCTAACATTACAGAGGGTGTTCATGGCACAGGAGCCCGTAATTCAGAGTGGGTGAGTCACATTTACTGCCCCCCTCTGCTTGCCCTGAACCAGAACATCTGCCTCCCTGGCCTCTGGCCTGGAGTGCGCAGCTTGAGTGGAGGGTAGAGGGAGGAGTGGGGCTCAAGACTCCGATCAAGGGGCCGTCAGGGAGGGCAGGCCTGGTTGTGCCTGGTGGGGTGGCTTACCCGGCTAAGCCCCGGGCAGCAGCTGCTCTTCTCCAGGTCCAAGGACTCTAGCAGCTCCTCCACGGCCTGTGGAAGAGAGACTTCTGTCAGGCAGCCCACGGGGGTGCCTCCTTTCCCCTTATCTCTCCCCTCCTCCTCCCAGAGCATCTGTTGTCTATTCCATGAGCCCTCCCACTGGGCTCTGTGGTGTCAGGCACTGTGCCAGACTTGGGACATAGGAGTGACCACCAGAGGAATGAGCTGTCTCGTTGGGGAGCAGAAGTTGGTGAGGAGGAGGCACCTCTGTCAGCCATGGGAACCCTGTGAGGTCCCCTGGAGGTGACGCTGTTGGTACTGAGTGTTTAGCTAGACAAAGTAGGGCAAGAGCATTCCAGGCCCAGGGACCAACATGAGCAGAGGCCTGGGGGCAAAGGAGCGGGAGGAATGGAGGAGACACGGAGCGGATCACCCTTAACTGCAGGCAGGGGTCAGGAGGGTTCAGGGGAAACTAGAGAGGCAGGCAGAGCCACTATGCTCCAGGAGCCCTGCAGGCTTCTCTCGGGCAAAGATGTGACCAGACTGGCGTTCTGTAATCCCATTGGCAAATGGGTGGAAGACAGGGAGCGACCCCACAGGGAGTTACGTCAGAGAAGCTGGAGTCAGAACAGAAAGGGGTGGCAATGCCAAAGGAGGAGGAACCCAGGGCCACCTGGAGACCCCTACCTTAGGGGTGAATGGACTAAGGTGACCCCAACCTTAGGGTGAATAGACCAAGGTGAGGAGCAGGAGAGAAAACAGAGCCTGCGCTATGTCTGTCGGCACCTGCTGAGAATGAGGTGCTTCCTCCGCCCAGGGCGAAAGGCCTGGCAGTGGCTGGATGGAACGCGTGCGCGAAGCTCAGAGAGAAGCCGGCAGAGGTATTGATTGGGAGCCGTCGATATATATGTGGTAATTGAAGTGATGGGTGTGAATGAGGCTGTGTGGGAAGAGGCAGAACAGGAAACACATTTGGCCAGGAAGAGTGTACTGAAGAGGGAGGCCTTGACTTCAGGGGTGAGTGCCGAAGGGCTCAGAGGAGGGAGCAGGGAACATGGAGAAGCTGAGCAGGGAATGTGGTGAAAAAAGGGGGGTGCAGCAAAGGCATGTGGTGCCAAGACTGAAGGTGAGAATGGAGAAGTGCCATGGGCAGGTTCAGGGGTTAGGCAGCCAGCCTCAGGCAGCTCTGGTGGAGGAATGGATGGCTGCCTGGTGCTGGGGACACATCAGGGTCCCCAGCAGGAGAGGTGGCACCACACGGCTGCCTTCTCTCAAAGAGCTGGGTTGGAGACTGTCCCCATGGAGAGAGAGCAGAGTTGGGGACCTCTGGGAGAGACGGGGGTGGGGGCGAGGAGGGGCCTAGTGGAAGGGGAAAGGAGAAAGCAGCTCAGGAGGAGGGCATCTGAAGAAGGCAGAAGGTAAAACCTCATTTTATCTGACTCTGGGGGCAAAGGCACCTGCTGGAAAGAAGACAGGATCACCGCAGTGGGGGAGACTCAGGAGAAAGAGAGAGAATGGAGTGTCTACAAGGGGAAAAGGCCACAGCAACCTTGCTGGGCTACCTCCTGGGCCTGCCTAAGGTTGAAGGCCAAGAGCCTGCAGGAACCCAAGGTACACAATCTCCACCCACTCCAAGCCCTGAGAAAGCCAAGAGGAGGAGCGCGGACCCCAAAGGCAGGTCCTGCAGGGTTGGGGGCAGATGGTGGCTGTGCAAGGAATCACAGGGATGTGGAGGGTAATGGAGTCCAAGCAGTTGTAGGGCTGGACAAGAAGATGATATCTAAGGGACAGGACAGAGCAGAGCAAACAGGCATCCTGCGAGAAGGGCAACAAGACATCCGGGCTCTAGGCTATGGTGAGGGAAGGCCATACCACAGCCTGGGACCTCCAGGTAAGGTGTTGGGTACAGCCCAGAATAGGAGGCTGGGAAGGAGGTGGTAGGTCAGTGAGAATCAGGTGTGAGATGGGTCGTCGGCCCCCACACCTATAGTGGGTCTGTCGGTGGACAGTGGGTCTCTGAGAGTCTCAGAGGAGTAGGCCTAGGACTTGTGGGCCAACAGAGAAAGGTTGGATGGATGGGGTGGGGGCAGGGGAGCTTCCTGCTCTGTCTTGCAGAAGAACTACCCTTGTAGAGGAACCTCCGCAGGGTTGAGGGGCACCAGGTTGGGTGCTGGTTGTGGTGCTCAGGGGAGAACAGGCTCCATTCAAGGATCCCTTTAGCTGCCTGGGCAGATGCTTCTGGGATAAAGGGCATGGCCTAGCATGTAGAGGTATTCCCTCTGCAGCTTGGCAGCCAAGGGGCCAGGGAACACTGCACTTGACCTGGCATCAAGGAAGGTATCTTGTCCCAGCCACGACAGTTTCCTGTGATGGGAAACCATCCTACCCCTGTCCTCCAGAGAGGGGGAGTGGATGCTCTAGTCCTGTGATCCATTCCCTTGGGTTCACCCTCCACAGGGCTATAGCTGGTGTCCCTGTACCAGTCTTGGGCACCTCAAACTGGGAGCCTAAGTGAGGCCAGCCTGCTTTCTCTGGGGAAGAGCAGCTGACGGGAGCAGTTTGGGAGGGGCAGTGGAGCAGGGGGACACTATAGACCCACACCTACCCGCCGTTCGTCCACCACGATGTAGTTACGGCCATGTTTCTTGGTGAGGTGTGGGGCCAGGACATCAAAGCGACGGCGGAACTCAGAAAACACCATGTGGTCAGGGTAACCTGGGCAAAGCGGCCAGAGTCATTGGGGACAACTCCCCATCTGCTCCTCTTACACCTGCCACCCACAGGTATGATGGACAGTGGGTGGGGAGGAGACTGTGGGGATGGGGGGATATGGGGGACAGACCTGCAGAGGAGAGCTGAGCAGGAGGAGGGTGGGGGACAAGGAGGGTGCTCCATGGTGGGACAGGTGCCTCTTTGTGCATAAGGCAGGGAGGGCAGGCTGTGGGGATTCTGGCTGGTCTCTAAGTGCTGTCTAGCCCCCAGTTCAGTGGCTCTGAAAGAACCCAGAGGGAGTGAGGCCTAGCCCGCATGCGCTATCTCTCAGGAAGCTGTGGCCTTGGGCCTCCAGCTCAGCCTCTGTGGGTCTTGGTTTCCTCCTGCACGGAAGGCGGGGGATCAAGTGGGAAGGTGCATGGAAGATCCAGCTCAGCTCACCTGGTGGGTACTTAGGGAGCTGTCCACAGAAGTAGAGGACTCAGGGCTCCTCTCCCTGGCCCACCTTGACCTAGAGCCCGAGGCCAGGCAACCAATAAGCTTGTGTAGATTATCATTCCCTAAGAGTGACTGGGCCCATTGTCAGAGTGACAGTATGGTTGGGAGCAGGAGGCGACCCAAGTCCCATAGATCTCACTGCTGCCCATGGTGAGGGACTCACAGCACCACTGCTATTTCAAACTGAATTTCAAACCAGAAAGGGGCTCTTAGGTCAGACCCAAGTCCTCTTTGAGACACAGAAACCCAGGCCTGTGAGGCAGAGTGGCTGTCCTGCCCAGGGCTACAAAGGCTGCAGCTAGAAGTGGAATTGAACTCCAGGTCCCGGGGCTCCCGTCGGCCGGCTGGGGCAAGGGGCTGGCTCCCAGATGTGGGGCCTCCTGGCTCTGGGAAAGCCTCCAAGTGGAAGATGAGGCTGATGCATGTGCCTGATAATTGAGACGGGAGGCGGGGGCTGCTGAAAGGCCAAGACAAAGTGAGCTATTGATTGTATCTGAATTGCAATTAAATTGATGGGCCAGGATAGCAGGTCCGGACGCCTGGCATCTTAATTAATCATCAGCGCTATCGATGGTGGCTGGGTGCGGGGGGAGGGGCGGCCACCGGCAGCCTCATCGATCTGCTTGTTTGAGTAAAGCACATTGATTTTGGTTCAGAGTGGTAACAGTCTGGTTTTGAAATAATAAACACCAACTCCATATCCCAACGTAGGGACAGATCGATGGTTTACTTAGAGCAGGACAGGGAACCCGTTTCCTGGCTTAGGCTGACTCTGGGGGATCTGGCTGGGGGTGGGTGGGTGCCTGCTTGCTTCTCAACTGAGGACAAAACCGCAAGTGCCCAGGAACTCAGTCCCAGGGCAAACAAACCCTCACAGGACAGGCCTGCCTGCCTGAGCCGAATCCAACAATGCTATCTATGTGTGAGTTGTGCGACCTCAGGTTAATGCCTTAATGTGTTGGAGCCTTGGTCCCCTCATCAGGGCAGGATAATGGGGGCCTGGCACAGGAGATGATGAGTGTGGAATGAGTTATGGACAGGGAAAGTTTAGAATCAATCGTGCGTAATGACCTTCATGTCCTCCTCCGGGCTCCCTCCCACAGAAGGGTCCACAAGAGATAAGTCTGTGTAACCTTTCTTGGGGAGCTTAAGCACTTGGGAGAAATTTAGCACCTCATGTTCACTGGGCAGGTAGCTCTGGGGTCTGCTGCTGCTTGGGGCAGAGCTGAGGTCAGACGATGTGTGGTGAGGTATTGCGGGGTTGGTTAGAAAGTGGCCACAGCGTGGAAAGCAACAGAGAAAAGGACGGGCTTTGGGCTGGCAGTTGTGGTGGAGGCCGGGGAAAAGACGGGAGCAAGAGGAAGAGGACCAAGCATCACTCCAGCAACCCCACGGTGCCCTCTGGGACAAGCAGCCAGGTTCAGAGAGAAGGCAGCCTCACCTTGGCGGTACATGCGCATGGCGTCTAGGAGACGGGAGCCACGGAGCTGGGCCCGCAGCAGGGGCACGTCAAGCTGCAGGGGCCCAGCCTCACAGGGGTCTCCCGGCGGCAGATCCAGCTCACTGCTGCTGCTGACCCGGCGGGATGAGGCTGACCGGGGCTCCCCGGCCCAGCCCTCAGCCACAGGCAGGAAGCAATGCACAAAATGCATCTTGGACTTCTTGATGGTATCAATGAGGGCGTCCTGCCGAGGGGGAGGGACCTGTCGTCAGTGGGCTGTGCAGGCTGAAGCATCTCCCCTCCTCACAGGACAGCAGGTGTCTCCACCACTGGCCAGGACGCATGAGCCTGGAAACCTCTGCCCCTGCCAGGTCTGGCTGGCTGTTCCCAGGCTGCAGCATGGAGTCAGGGCGGGCATGGATGAGCTGAGTATGTCTGTGCCACCCAGCCCGTGAACTTATTTGCCTGTGCTGCCCTGTGGGGACAACAGGGACCGGTGCTGGTTCACTCACCACCTGCAGCTTGATCTGAATGCACAGGGATTTCTTTTTGATTGCGGCCATGCCTGTGGTGAAGGTCTTGCGCACACTGGTGGCCCGGCGCAGTGCCAGCTGTGAGCCGCCCTCCAGCCCCGCGATGGAACCTGACAGCACGCTGGCGCCGCCCGCCCGGCCCAGGAACAGGCTGCTGATGAGCTTCCTGTCAGGGCAGGGAGGATGTGTAGGGAAGGGAGCAGAGAAAAAGGGCTTTTGCTTTGCTCAGTGTTGTCTGCCAAACTCCCTGAAGTCTCAGTCATCAACCGAATAAACGAATGAATGACGGTTTATGTCACTGAGGGGCCTCAAAGACTGCTGCTGCCTTGCTTGCAGAATGTGGGGCACTAATTAAAGGAAAAACTCCAGGCCCCTCCAGCCACGTCTGTCCCCCATTTCTACTCTATGAGCCACCCATGCACCCCCCAAGGCCTTCTGGCCTTGGGTCTCTCTCTTCCCTCTAGCTGTTTCTCTTGCAGGAGGGGACTTGGAGACAACTTTTCAGGACAGGGAACCCTGAAGGTGGTTGTGAGGGGAGTGGGGCTCTCACTTTTGGGAGTCCTGCAGGAGCCGGGGGGCATTCTGGGTGGCTGGGTTCTGCTTGGTGTAGCCCAGCCAGCCAGCCACATTGTACTCCACCCAGTTTGTGCCACGGCCGTGGCCCAGGAGGAAATGGTGTGGTTTGTTGCTGCGCAGAAGGGGACTTTGGCCTGAGGATGGGAGAAGCAAGATATTGATTGATTGATTGTCAGGGCACAGGATGTCCCCAGTGGCATCCCTCAGACCCTGACAGGACCCCCCCCTCTCCACGCATGCCTCCCACCTTTCTTGTCGCCTTCCTGGGGGCCATAATAGGAGAAGAGGCGCTCCAGGAGGGTGTCTTCCTTGGCCCCTGGCACCAGCGCCTCCTCTTCCAGCAGCCATAGCAGGCCCCTGGCCTCGTCCGTGCGAGCCAGTGAGCGTACCTGCAGAGAAGGCAGGAAATCCCAGCTTATCACATGGAGCCACAGGAAAGCAGCCAGATGAGGTCCCAGGTGCCATCAACATGCCACACACACACACCCACCCTGGCCACTCATTCACTGCTGACACCCTGGAGCAGGGAGGTGGCAGTGAATGGAAAGAGACTTGAGGTGAGAGTGAGACTCACAGCAACACAGGCTTCCTGTGATGACTTAGGCTGCTGACACCCAAATCCACATCTTGGGCCTCTCCATCCTCATGCCATCAGAGGTCACCAGGGGCTCAGATGTGCCCCATACTGCCTGCTCCACCCCGCACCCACCCCCGGCAGAGGCAGTGGCACAGGGCAGATCCTGCTGATACTTGGCAAGCCTACGTCCCCTGTCGGAGAGCCTGAGGCAGTTTCAGCTCCATGTCTGATCCAGCTTCCTTTGGATGTATTTCCTGGGAGGCAGCAGGTGGTGGCTCAAGGGCTTAGGTCCCTGCCATCTATATGTGGGAGACCCAGAGAGAGTCCCAGGCTCCTGGCCCCGAGAATAGTTGCGGGCATTTGAGGAATGAACCAACAGATGGAAGATCTCTCTGTCTTTCTCCCTCTCTGTCCATTTATTTTATTTTAAACAAACAAACAAACAAAAAATTCTAAGGAAAAAAGGGACAAACTCTGCAAGGCCCTGAGCAGGAACGTGGCATCATGGAAGTTCCCAGGGAGTGTCAATGTCTGTGGGACTAACAGGATTCCCTGTGAGGGGGCAGCCCAGGAGGCCCCAGGTCACTGCAGGTAAGACCCTTGCAAGACACGAGCTCAGGGACCAAAAGCATAAGATGGGTAGTTTCACAGGTGGTGGAAGCCAAAATGGGCAGAGTTCAGGCACCTGGAGAATGAGTGTCCTTCCCCAAAGGAACAAATACCACTCGGTAGCCACCAGTGTTGTCCTTGAAGAGCACTGTCCCTGCTCCCAGGTCCTGAGTTTTCAAGAGAAGGCGGACATCTTGGATTCTGGTTTCCAATACTCTGTGCAGGCCAAGCACACCAGGCCTGTGGCTATGCCTGGCCTGAAGGCGCCCATGCTGTGGGACTCCCATGGCGCCTCGGCAGCAAGGATGGAACTGCCCCCATCCCAGTCTTTTTTTCTTTTTAAGATGCTACTTATTTATTTGAAAGGTAGAGTTACAGGGAGTGGGTGAAGATAGATCTTCCATCCACTGGTTCACTCTCCTGATAGCCAGCTAGGGGAGGGGCCCAAGCCAGGAGCTTCCTCCAGGTCTTCCATGTGGGTGTAGTGTCCCAAGGACTTGTGACATCCTTTGCTGATTTTCCCAGGCCATTAACATGGAGATGGATCAGAAATGAAGCAGCTGGGACATGAACTGGTGCCCGTGTGGGATGCCGGTGCCACAGGTTGTTGCTTAACCCACTGCCCCATGCCTGCCCTCTTTTGACTTGGCTTTTATAGTGTAAGTATGCTTTTCTATGACCCCAGCTGCCTGTGTCAGCTCTCCCAGGGGATCAGCATGGTAACCACGGACAGCTGAGGGCAGGACTGAGTGGCAAAGCTGGCAGAGGGGACTCGGCAGGCAGGCTCACGGAGGTCCCTTCTTCAGAGGTGCAGCTGCCTGAACCCAAGGCTCACAAACAAGGGACACCCATATAGAGAGGGAGTGACCAAGCCTCATGCAAACACACCATCCAGCCCACTGCTGCCCGGAGTCCTGTGTACTGACATCCCCTGTCTTGAGGGAGGCCACCATAGGTAATCAGGTGTCAGAGAAAGCAAGCCCAGCCTCTCTGGGGAGACATGCCACTTAGGCACATTAAGCCTTTGTCGCCAGGGGACTCTTGCTGTCCTCAGAGCCCTGCCATTCAGTGTTGGCCAAGCGAGTTTCCATGTGAGGATGAGCAGCAGGGAAGCAGGCATCAAAGCAGAGGAGGAGAGCACCCAGTTCTCCCAGGCAGTGCCTGTATGTTTTCCCCAAGGTGGCCAGGCCCCCAGGGTACCAAGATGCTCAGGACACTCATACCCAGGGTGACAAAGCTGACACCCCAAGTTGAAAGGTATGGGTTTGCATCTATGCCCCTCCCGCCCCAGGCTGCATGACAATTTGGCACATCCCACAGAGTGAGACGCTGCCTCCCTGCCCACCTCCCCTCGCTGTATCCCTGCCCCTCATGGGACTGGGAGGAGGGGATAGCTATGTCCTCAGGACTCAGGCCCTCCTCACTGACAGCAGAACCCCGAGGTCTCAGACAGGTCCAGAACAGGGGTAAGAAAGGAGGCACGCCTTCCTGCTCAGCTGTAACACTGTGGGCAGGGCTTCCGTGGCACTTTCCCAGACAGACAGGAGTGTCACCAGGCCCTGCTGGCCACCGGGCCCTCCCTCATCTCTGATAATGGCTTAGGCAGGGAGAGGCCCTCTTAGGGGCAGGGTGGCAGGAATGAGAGATAAGGGGAGCTGGGTCCATTGACGTGCCTACCAGGGACTGATGGGAGGCCTGGTCCACAACAGCCACCGCGTCATCCGTGGTCGGCTCCGGGTCATCAAACGCCACCTCGATGTTCTCCTAGGGAGAGAGACAGGCAGATCAGTGCTGAGCATGGGTCTAGGGCAGGGGTGCACCCAGTGAGCAGGCCCGAGGAGCCTGGCAAGGTGCTCTAGCACCTCAAATACACGCTGCATGCTGCCTTCAGGCAGCTTGTCTCAGATCCAGTGCCCACCCTATGGTCTTGTCACTTGCATCAGACGGTTGGTAGTGCAACCAGCCTATGCCCAGTGTCACAGTTACTGGAGAACATGTAACAACAGTGGGCTGGCTCCTCTCCAATGCCCTCGCTGGGCAGGCAGCATTCCTAGCTCCTCCTCCTGCTGGGGACACCCTCTGATGGAAGGGAAGAGAGGGAGGGAGGGAGCGGTGAACACAGGCTGTGGCACACATCAGGCAGCAGCTGCGTACTGGCCATACAGAGCCCAGGGGTGCCTTGAGAGAGGGGACTCCAAATGCATGCCCAGCTTCCCTGAGAGTAAACATCCCATAAAGGTCAGAGGCCAGGCCCAAGGCGGGGGGGATGGGGACGTGCACCCAGAGATCACGGGCTGGGGTAGAAGAGGGCTCAGGGGAGTGGGCAGTGAGCAGCAGTGAGATGGGGGGGGGCTCCCTGCGGGGTCTGGGACAAGGGCTACCTCTTTATATCTCTCCAGCTCCTGAACGAAGGTGCGCTCGTGGAAGAGCCCATGTAGCCGGTCCTGGGCGTAGTTGTGACACAGTTCCTCAAAGCAGGCCCCCCGGGCTGAGCCCCCCTGCTCGGGGTTCTGGAATCCTGGTGTGTCCACGATCATCACAGAGCACAGCGAGTGCTGGCTGGACTTGAGGGCCCTTTGTGGAGACAGCTGGGGTCACAGCTGGCCAGTGGTCACCACCACCCAGGCAACCCTAAAACACCCCGAGCCAAATCCCCAGCCCGTGCGGGCGCCTGACCACGAGGACAAGTGAGTCCGATGCTGCATGCAGGATGCAGCTGGCCGGACCCCTCCTCTGCTGGGGCCCTGTCTGGCACACACCTGTTCACCAGGGAGACGAGGAGGGTGAAGAGCTCGCTGTAGAGGCCGGACGCCATGCCCTCCAAGCACTCCAGTGCACTCAGCTTGGAGCCTGTGGGGGAAGGGGACTGGTTCTAGCACCCTGTGCCCTGGAATGCTCCCCTTCCTACCCAGGGTCCTAAGTTGGGCTCTGCCCTCTCCCATGGGCAGAAGCAACTCCCATTATCTCCTGCAGTTTCCCAACCTCCAAGGGATGGTAGTGAGCCCAAGGGGAGCAGGGAGCCTGCCAATCATGTCTACCCGCAAGGGGTTCAGGGTACCAGTGCCATCTCCCAGGCTGCTCTCCTCTGGGCCCTGGCGGAAGGAGGTGGAGCGCTGCAGGCTGCTGCCCTTGTGCTGGTGCTTGAAGATGGCTGAGGACAGCTCCTCCAGGCCGCAGCCCAGCAGGTATGCGGCCTTCTGGGCCCACTCGTGGCGGGCAAACTGTTTGCGTCCGGCTGTGGGTTGGGGGGAAAAAAGGATCTGGCATCCTGGGTCTTTCTCCTTAGGGACCCTGATGGCCACCAAGCCCTTGTGCTCCCTCATTCCCACAGGACCGGGCATCGGGCATCTCCTGGAGGGAAAAATCAGCCCTGGGGACTTGGAGCTGACAGGGACAGCCAGCCACCATCAGCGAGCATTTCCTGGATCCCTAGGCAGAGTGGGAGAGGAAAGCAGTAATTCCACATGCTGCCACCGGAGGGCACTCAGCTGCAAGAATCCCTTCTCCAGGGCGTTCAACTAGGGAGGGGAAGGACAAAGTCAGGCTGAGGCAGCACAAACACCCAGATGCGGCTGCCTGGGGTGTGGAGGTATCATTCCAGCACCTCCCTTCCCTTTCTGGGACATGTGAGAACCCCCCCTCTTATTCTCCTCTTACTGCTAGGGCAGACCACAAACACCCACGTAGGCCCAACAGTGGGGAGGCAAAAAAGCCACAGGGCATAGGGTGCAGCCCACACAGAGCTATGTGAAGCAGCCAACCAGTATCTAATCACAGGAATTAGGGAAAGCTAACAAGAAACAATGGTTTACCTTCAGTGGCTTCTGTAAGGCAAAGGACCAGCATGCAGCATGCAAAGGAAAACAGTGTGTTAGCAAACGGACCTAACGGGTCACGGCCCAGGGGAGGACAGGAGGAGGCTGGGGCTTGTGAGGATTAGCGGGCAGGAAAACGAGGCCACATTCAGACCTGGGGATGCATAGAAAGATACGCACCCAGAGACACAGACACACACACAACCATACACGCGAGTGTGCACATTAACCACTCAGACCCCTCAATGTTCCCATACACACAAACACCTAACCCCACACAGACACACTCACACAGGGACAGGCATAAGGTTTCAAAGGGCTGGATATTACTGCAGTGACACATGCAGAGGGCACAAAGACACCGTAATATTCATTCTCTGTCTCTGTCTCTGTCTCTCTCTGGAAAACACAGGAAGCTCTGAGGCCGTGACCATGCTCAGCAGCAGGGCCCATGTCCACCTGTGCTCAGAGCTGAGGAGGGTGAGGGGACACCCCGGTTGTCATCTCCTCAGAGTCCATCCAAGGCTCTCCCTCAGGACTTGGTCATACGCCACCTGCCTGCCTCCCCTACAACCTGGGGATTCTTTTGGAAGGTTGCTTGCTAGGAATGCCACCCGCTGGCATCCTAACCTCCACGCACCACCACCAGGATTCCCACTCAGCAGCCCAGCCCCTTTGCAGCCCAAAGAGAGAAAACCAAAGCCCAGGGCGCCATGGAGGGCCAGCACTCCTTTCCCTAAACAGGAGAAAGGGGTGGAGAAGTGCTCAAACCACCGCAGGCTAGTGCAAGCTGCATGGGTACAGCAGGACAGGGTGGGGGAGTGGGGAGACCACAGGATTCTTCCAAGGTCCTGCCATTCAAAGTGCGAGCCAAGCCCCAGCAGCATTCATTTATTTCATGGTGCCTGCTGCCCCCTAGTGGTCTTCAACCCGGAATGCAAGAGGACAAGCAGCAATGGATCCCAGTGAACAGGAAAGATGACTCTGGGACAAACAGGCCTCAGAAAATCCCAGGAGACAGGCACCTCCACCTCAGCTAGGCGCCATGGAGGGTACCCCGACCGGCTCCAGGACCCGGGTGCAAAGCATGTAGGAGAAGCAGCAGCTACTGCCAGGCCCTTGAAAGAAGCCTCATGGACCACAGGCTCCCCTTGCACCTTCAGACCTGAGCTTCTCCCCAGATCAGTTCCCTCTGCTAGGACAGAAAAAGCCTCCAGCACCCGATCCGAAGAGAGCCAAAGCAAGCACCAAGACAGGGTCAGGCAGTCCCTATAGCCCCGGCAGGCTACGGTCAGTTACCCGTGTGCTCCTCGAGTTCCTCTGTCAGGAAGGGAATGAGAAGTCAGGACACTGCAGGGGTGCCTCGAGGAAGCCCACTTCCCTCCTCTCACCTTGGTGGTCCCCACCCTCTCTGCTCCTCCCAGGGCAACCGGTCCCTGCCAGCTAAGGCCACTATGGGCAGAGTCGTTTCCTCCAACCCAGGAAACCCCGAGGCTGTGGCAGGTGGGATCAGATGGGAACACAAGTAGAAGAGGGGCGTCTGGCTGCCAGGCTGCCAGGTAGCTGACCTTTGGTGGCGCCAGCAGCTCCCAGGTGGTAGATGGCAGCCAGGATGAGCCAGCAGGCCTTCTGTTCGTCAGCCGAGATGCCCAGTACCTTCATGGCTGTCTGCAGCTTACTGAACTGCTGTGCTGCCTTTTGCTTCTCCTCTGGCTGCAGAGACAGTTGGAGACATGGGCTCCACACTTCACAAGGGCTATCTCTCCCAGTAGACCTCCCCTCGTGCTGCAGGACCCTGGGGAAGGCCTGGCTTGGGTGCAGCCATCCACAGCCTACCACAGAACAACAGAGGTGTCTTTTGTGCCCAAGGCCTGGGACCAGGCCTGTCTCCCCAGTTGTCTCACCTTGGCCAGGGGTACAATTCCAAACACGTTGTTCTCTGCCAGGTGGTTCAGGTGGAGCTCTGTCCTAGGGGTATAAACGAAGCGTCAGCACAGGCTGGCACGTAGGCCAGCTGTTCTCCAGGCTGGAAATGGGAGGTTCAACTTCTGGACCCTGAACACCTCTGGCTCATCTCGTCTGATTGTCAGGCCAGCTGCTGTCACCTTTGCTAACTGACCTGGCTGCCCAGTCAGAGTGCCAGCCTCCTTAGGAGAGGTTTCCACCATTGAATTTATCTGGACAATAAGATGCTGGACTCTATGCTTGCAATGAAAGAATCTTAACTGATCTTTAACTGTAATACTGCAACAAGGTAGAGGAATCCACCATCGGGGGAGGGTATGGGGCGGACTTGGGGGAATCCCAGAGCCTATGAGACAGTGTCACATAATGCAATGTAATCAATAAAAAATAATATAACAAAAAAAAAAAAAAGGAGAGGTTTCCAGAGATGCCCTGGGGAGAGCAGAGCCCTGGTTAGAGCAGGGCACCTGCCTGAAGTGGGGGCAGTTGCTGCAACAGCAGGAGACGCAACACCTGGGGCTGCTCAGCCTTGATCAGCTTTTATCATTTCCAGGGTACACAAATGTTGGGTCCAAAGAGGACAGTATGGTGGGGGCAGCCCACAGCGGGCAGGAAGGATAGACGAAACCCTGGGCTTTGGGCCCTGATGTGGAACTGCAGAGGCTGTGTGAATGTGGGCAAGTCGGGGAGCAGCCACATCCCTTGAGGGCTCTCCTCTGACACCCAGCTCCTTGGAACACAATGATCCCACTGGTGCCTTGGGAGCGCCCGGGAGTCCCTGTGCTCCTCGTACACAGCAGCGAGGCCCCGGAACCTGGAGCCAGGAAGCTCTGGGGCAGGGGCTCCAAATCCTTTGCTTCATCATCCCCAGGGCAGAGCTCAGACGCACAGCAAACAAGCAGTCCAAGACACGATTGTGTGGTCAGGTTCCTCAGTGTTTCCTCTGCCCTAGCTTACCTGAGCGTGCTGTCCGCACAGGCCAGCAGGTAGTAGAAGACATTGAACGTGGCCTCGCTGGCAGGGCGTCGGGCCACACGTAGCTTCTCCAGAAGCATCGTCTGTGGCACAGGAAGAAGAGTGAGAGAGGATGGTGGTGGCACTGAGGGCTGGGAGCCAGCAGCTGACCCTGTTCCCAGGGTGAGCCCAGTCACCCACCCAATACCAAACAGGGCAAAGAGCCAGAGCTAGGTGGAAAACGAGAGCCCAGCTCATGAAGGAGTCCCTGGAAGACCTGCCCAGTGCCCAGAGGACAACCTTCCTGGGAGATAGGAGCCTGTGAGTGCAGGACTCTATCCTAGGCCTGACTTCACAGACAAGCTAATCCTCTGCTGGGTATCAGCCCCCAAGAGACATGGGTCTTTATGAGCATGGGTCTCAGAAAGTGGGTACTGCCGGGGCCCCAGCAGCGGGCCCCAAGCCAGGCCAGGGTCCCTCCAGGAGGTGTGGAGCACAGAGTGGTGAAGGCTTAGCTTGGAAGCCTGGTGCTGGGGACAGAACAGCAGGAAAGAGCCTGTCTCCCAGGGGAGGGCAGCCTGAAGCCTGGGTGGCATCCCCTCACCTGGATGGAGGCCGAGGCCACCTGGCCAGCTTGGTCAAAATCCAGGGAGAGGATCTGGGAGAAGCGCGTGGCATTGCTGTTCATGACAGAGGGGCTGTTCCCGAAGGCTTCCAGGAGTGTAAACAGAGCCTGCCACTTCTCCACTGCAGGACACAGGCTGGGGGTCAGTGCAGCCCAGGGATGGAAAGCTGGGAGCAACTCAGACCAGGTCTGCCCGGAGACAGGTGGCCGGGGGACGGAGGGGCCAGGCAGAGAAGGAGCTGGTGCCCAGGAGCGTCCCGCCTCCCCACTCCCTTCTCACCCATATGCAGTCTTCTCAGTTGTCCCTGCCTTACCAGAAAACACCTTGTTCCCGCTGCCCGCAATGGTGGCCAGGTACTGCACCAGGTGCTGGCAGTTGGTGGTCTTGCCACTGCCACTGCTGCCCAGCAGGATGATGGACTGATCCTGTCGGCTCATCAGCATTGTCCTGTATGCAGTCTGGGCCACGGCATAGATGTGGGGTGCCATGTCCTCTCGCCGACACCCCTTGAACATGTGCATCACCTTTGTGCAGGGGAGGGAGATGGAACAGGGAGGCTCTCAAGCAGTCCCTCTAGGACCACCCTGCAAACATAGGCACTCGCCCACTCCTGGGCTCCATCAAAAGTGGGGAGGCCCTTCCATCCCCTCTCTCCAGAAGTGACCTTCTGTCTAGGGTCAAACACAAAAGTAGTCAGGAGCCCAGTGGAACCCAAGGAGGGTGGGTAGATGGGGTCTGCAGGAGTGGGGACCCTACCTTCTCGGAGTACACAGCGGGGGCCCCGCGGGGGCTGAGGACCAGCAGGCTGGGCCCGGCATAGGTATGCTGCAGGCTGGCACCATAGCGCTGCCGCAGGGTGTGCAGCACGCTGGACTCATTGAGGTACACCAATGAGGCCAGGTCCTCCAGCCGGTCGCAGGAGGGAGCATTCGCCTGTGTGACAGGAACAGCGGGTGGGTGATAGCGGCGCAGAACCTCATCTCCACTGCCAGGGGCAGCAGAGCCCAGTCCAGCCCACCTCCAGCACCCTCCAGCAGCCTCCTGCGAACCTTCTCTATGTCATCTTCGTCCACGTCCAGGACTGTTCCGTCATGGTCTAGCTTCACGCGCACCTTCCCCTCGGGCAGGCTGAGTTCCTCCGATTTGAGCTGAGTGGCTGCAGAGCAGGGACCCACAGCTGGGTGCAGGCCTCCTCTTGGCCACACCGTAAGTCTCTTCCTGCTCATCTCCCCCCATCCCCCAGCCCTGACCTGACCCAGAAGGCCACAGTCACAGAGACTGGAATCCCAGGAAGTAGACATTGGCCCGGAGACTCACCCAGGGAGAAGCCGTCCTTATGGGCCAGCCACACCTTCTCTGTCTCACACCAGGCCTCCTCAGCTGCAATCTGCTCTTCCGTCTTTGCCTGTCGGTGGAGGGACACACACACAGACACACACACACAGACACACAGAGTGAGACCCTGCTGCGGAAGATGGGACAATCAAGGTAGCAGCAGAGAGGGGAAGGCAAAAGGGACAGCTCTGTGGCACGCACAGAATGTGGGGACATTAGAGGTGTCGGGGAAGCCAGGAGGCAATGGTGGTTCTTGAGGAGCCCTATGGACCAGGACCCCGAAACAGGGAACAGGAGCCCAGAAGGGAGAAGGCCCCAAAAGGCTCTGCTTCCACCACCTTCCTCCCTGTCAAGCCCAGTCCAGATCCCAAGCGCCAGTGACTGGGTCTGCCCCCTTATTACAAATAATAGGACCCGGTCAGCAAAGTGAAGAAAGGGCCATTCCTTAGACACCAGGGGCAGGTGACTCCCTGGTAACACAGAACAACAGGCCGGCCCTGAGCACTGGCCTCAACCCTGGCTTTCACCTGCCCGGGAGCATACATGGGGCTCCCAAATCCTCCTCCCCTGGCCAGGAGGTGACCGTCACACAGAACTAGTAGACATGGCAATGCAACACAAGGGCATGAGGCAGCACAGCCAAGATGGGGGCAGGATGGCACTGTTGTCTCACGCAGAGAGGGACCTGATGCTGCATGGATGGGCTTGGAAGGTGGCCCCTGACTAGAGACGAGCATTCACAGGCACTGGCAGGCCGGGGGGCTGACAGGGTACCCCTGTAAGTGGGACACCTGAGCTGGAGAGAGACACAGCTCATGTGGGGTGCACAGCAGGAGGTGGTCTGCCATGCACAGCCCATCAGCCCCTTTTGTTGGTGTGTGGACAGAAGAGCAGAAAGTAACCAACGGCTCAACTGGTGGCCAGGAGCAGTCCCCCATACTCTTGGAGGGTCTCAGCTAGGAGGTACATTCAGACCCCAAGAATCCCTCATCCCAGATATCCTCTCCTTGGTCAAGGTCAAGGCCTAGACACTGTTTTGTGATGGTGACCCGAGGGATGGGGTAAGAAAACACAACAGGAAGGGTGTTCGCTGTCCCATTTCTTGGAGTTGGAGGAAACTGAGGTCATGGTCCCAATCCCAGGTTGGACCCTGACCTGTTGGGCTGGGGCTGCCCTGCCCACATGGGGGTTTAGCTACACCAGCACCTGGGGACCCTCCCGCCACCACAGGCCAGGAAATCAGTGTGCAACTGCACGGTCACTAGGGGGCTGTCAACATTCTGTTCGTTAGATGGGAGCATTTTCTAGTCAGATACGAAGCTTCATTTTAAAGTTGTAACCACACTTCCCTTTTTTGAAGGCGCGTATAACCTTTGGATCAGGTACAACCTGATGCATAATAATGACATACCAGGACCAGGACCCACAACTGACAATGAACATGGTTTTCTCACATTGGCCAGGAGGTGGAGACAGAGACTAAAACATCTTTAAGCCTGGGCTGGGGAGGAGGCAGGGATCCAGGTTACTGGGTTTTCCCAAAAGAAGAAACAACCAGAACCCTCCTGGGCTCCAGTAGCTGAGAATCAGGTACACAGGGGCCACTGGAGCAGTGACGCTTAGATATGGCCTCCCCAGGGGGTCCCTGAAGAGGAAGGAGGCCTTACTCTCCAGCATGAGGCCCGGGCGCAGATGCCAGCCCAGGTACAGCCCGGGGGTGCTGGGTGGTCACTGGAAGAAGCAGAGGGCTCCGGGGTGGGGCAGGAGCACCCTACCTGGCTGTGGGCAGGAGGGGCAGCCTCAGAGTCCAGCTAACAGCAGCAAAAAGACAGAGAGAGAAAGAGAGAAGGAAGAGGGGTGAAGACAAGCAGACCACCATGTTCCCTTCAGCCAAACAGCCCTCTCCGCCGAGGAGCCAGCGCTCTCCGTGGCCAGGGTGCTTGGTGCCAGGACTAGCAGCTGGCCTGGGCAGCAGGGCTGCATCACATCAAGGAGAGGCCCTTGTGCGCATCTGACCTCATGCAAGATGCGGTCCTGAAGGCATTCGCTCCAGCCAGGGCAGGAGTCTGCCCTATGCGTCGAGCCAGGTTCTCCTGAGCAGGCCATTCTGTCTATGCTCAACCAGGCTTCTCTTCTATCTGCCTATCAAGCTTACCACACCCGCAGCCTGGTCCCTCGGGAACCCTCTGCCTTAGCACCAGGGCACTTACCAGTTTAGCTCCCTCCCAGTCACCAAACATCAGCATGGAGCTGTCCCCGGCCACCAAGCAGATGCCCAATGGTGCCACTCTGTGTCACGGCAGCCTTTCAGATATCACCCCCACACCTCTTACACCCCAAGGGCACCATCAGCCCAAGTGCAGGACCCCTTCCTCAAACCTCCACCTCACCCTGTATGAGGAGGATATCCTGACCCCACAGTCTTCAGGGATATCACCCATCTGGGCCCAATCTGGAGCCACCTGCCACCTGCCACCTGCCCAAGGCCTTTGCCAGGCAGAAGGGGATCCAGATGTCAGAAATGGACAAGGAGTTAACAGGTCCCACCTGGGCCTTGAGAGCCTGGGCATCGAACTTGGACATCATCAGCTTCCTGCCTTGCCACCCAGGAGGCACGGGCACTAAGACATGGCTTGGAGGTATGAGGACAAGGCCAGACAAGGAGGCTGAAGAGAGGCCATCCCCTGTGCATTGAACTGGGGGCTTCCTGAGGGATGACCCTCTGCCGACACAGCCCAAGTGGGGGCCCATGGATCACTGCAAACCTCCCTCCCACTGCTGGCCACTCCTATACACACACAGCCCGATCACCAGCCTCCAGACAGAAGGCCAGGGACCACACACACACAAACGACAGAGGTGGCATTACAGAAGCTGTGAAGATCCTCTCAAGCCGCTGGTGTGCCTCCTCGGCAGGGGTCAGCAGGACCTCTGGGGCAGCTTCCGCCTAAAGGTCAAACCGTTATCAGCCCCAGCCCAGGGGACAGTGGACGCTCAGCACACTGAGATAGCAGCCCAGGAGGATACAGCGGCCCAATGCGGGAGTAGAGCAGTGCTGAGGAGCCAAGCCAGGCGGCACCAGGGGTTTCTAAACCAGCAGACAGGGAGAAGGGATGGACACCTGGGAGTCCTGACTGCCTTGAGGGGCCCGTGATCCCACTTAACCTTTCTTGTCCCCGCCTTGGACTCAGGTGACCAGTAGCTAGGTTCCAGCTCGAGGCATGACTCATTCCCCAATTGCAGCAAGAGAAAGAGGGACAAGGAGACAGAGGGGGCTGGTGGCCAGCCAGAGGACAAACTGGCAACATTCCCACTACCTCTAGCATCTCCAGGGGGAAAAGGTGCCCCGGGCAACTGCCAGGGGACTATTTCCCTCGTGCCCTCTGAGCCAGAAGGACTGAGGGGAGCCGCACATGGCTTCCAAGTGCTGTAGTGCCTAAGGGAACCATGCCCAAGACTGATTCCACAAGCTGGGGAACTCAGGAGCTGACTGCTGGACAGCTGGGCTTGCAGCATTAGGCAAGGGGATTCTCATCTTCGCAGGGACTCTTCACACCCAGTACTACCCCCAGGTACAACTTTACAGTCTCCAGAGTGGCCCCCAAACAGAGGATTTTTGTGAACTATTTGGGTGACAAAAGCTATTTTTCTTCTGTTCTCATGCAGGTTTTGTTTAAAAGACGTGCAAATGTTTGTTCCGAGAGCTGCTATGTACCCAGTGGGACTATCCAGTACAACGGTCACTCCCTTCCAAGGACTTCCGAGAAGAGCAAGAAGGCAGACCCTGCTGGAGACGCAGACCCAGGCCATGCAATGGGAGCCAACATTGTCATTCTGCCCCGGCCCAGACCTGCTTAAGCCCTGACCCTCAGCTTGGGACCCCGGGCCTCCAGCTGGCACTGTGTGGCCAGAGACCAAATCCCTGAAGCTCAGTGTATCATCGCAACCCAGTAGCATGCTGGTTAGCAGTGCCCAGGCCACCATGGGGCCTGATGAGGATAGCCATGCAGCCTGGGGCCACTGCCACCTGCCCTTGGGCCAGCCTCTTAAGTCAGGCGGGATCTGCTCGGGTGTGGTGAAGCAGGTGTGAGGTTAGTGACACACTCGAGTACCTCCTGCCGGACACCAGGGGTCGGTGACTTGGACTTCGGCTCTTCGGGGAGGCTGGACTTGGGGTCAGCCAAGTCTGCTGGTGGGGCAGGGGAGCCTGGCTTGGCTGGGGAGGCCGGTGGCTCCTGGCTGGAAGGCTTCTCACCCTTCCCAGGAGATGGCTTGCTGCGGGGTTTTTGTTCCTTGCCTTTGCCCCGAGACATCAGGCTCCGCAGGCCCACTGACAGCTCATCCTTGGCCGCCTCCTTCTTGGCTTCAGACTTGGGCGGGACAGGGGGAGGAGGTGGAGGAGGAGGTGGTGGCGGCTTGGGACCAGGGGTTGTCTTCTCCCCTTTCTTGCCTCGAGCCGGGTGCTCAGGGGACTTGAGCCCCCTGCCTGGAGGCTCCTTGGCACTACCGGGCTCCTCACCTGGCAGCACCTTGCTCACCACCTTCCTCACTGCATTTGCCACCCGTTTCCGGGACAGGCCCTGGGCCTCCTCGCCTGGGCCCTCTGCCGAGGCAGCCCCCAGGCCGTTCATGGCAGGGGTGGGCATGGGACTCGTAGTTTTCTGGGGAGTTGTGGAGGGTACCGGGCTGATGGGGGGCTGAGGACTCTTAGATGGGCCTCCGCCGTCCTTGAAGCTGCCCTCGGGCTGTGGTCACAAAGACATGGGGAGACGTTAGCACCAGCCCCTGCACCCCTGCCCACCAGACACAGGAGAAGTAGGGAGGGAGATGGGGCCTCTTCTATCACCTGCCAGACAACACACAGCTTTGAGTCTACCCCCAGGAAGCCTCTTCCCGATTCCAGAGAATATATTTGAGTTTATCATTGGGTACAGGCGCCACCTGCTGTTTATCCCCAGGCTTAGCATGGGACTGTGAAATGGGAATGTGAGACACCATCCAGGGCCCCTGAGGCACCCCAGTCACTGGCTGGCACTGCGTTATGGTGGCAAGAAACTGCCTTCTCCTTTGCAGCCCAAACACAACCCGGGTCACAAAGAAAAGACAATATCAGGCCCAGGCCTGACTTGAACTGACTGCCTGTCTGTCTGCATGGGCCTCGCTCTTCCTGTCATCGCTTGGTTCTGGCAATCAGTCCCAGAGCCTGCCCATTCTGAAGACAGCAGTGGTCAGGGAGCTCCTCCTATCCCCGAGACACGCTCCAGCTCCTTGGACCTTTGGCCACGGTTCACCTTCACCCGCACTCCCAGCAGCTGCAGAGAGCAGGGCTGGCCACCGCGAAGCGCCCACTGCACCTGCCTTTCTCCAGCCAGGCTCTTTGCAGCATTCCTCCATTCCTCCCGCAAGCCTCTGCAGTGTTTAGAGCCCTCCAAGCTCCCAGGGTGTCCAGACACAATGGGCAGGAGAGGAGGTAGCTGCACCCCACATATGGTTACTCCCTGGAGGGATCAGAGCTCTATTCTGTCCTGAGTGGGGCTCCTGGCTCGACTGGGCTCTTCCTATGTGGGCCTGCAGTTGGAGCCAGTCCACTTGCTGCCAAACCTTCCCTCACACGCTGGCCAGGGACCGTCCCCAGGGACAGCCACTGGGAAGACCAGGCTGGCAAACGGCAGGGCAGGGTTTTTTGCAAAGCCAACCCCACGTTGCCCGAGGGACATTAGGTCAGCCTGGTGTGTAGGTTGTGACTGGCCAGGCAGCGACCTGCCACTCACAGAGTGATCACTCCTCACCATGATCTTGGTCCAGGCGCACCTGGGCATTGGGCTGCGTGGAGGTTGATGTTCATGCCTGCAGGGACTGTGGGGAGCTGCTCACAGAGTGCCACATGTGACTGCCACACAGAGAGCCTGCCCCAATCTCAGGGTGGAGCTGAGGCCTGGCCCTCAGTCCAGACATAGTGTTTAGGGTGGCTCTGCTGGAGGGGGTAGGAGGGAGGGCGGGCTTCAGAGTGCCTCTTCCTCCACCCCTTAGGCCAAGCGCTCTCACAGGCATGCCAGGGCACTATGGAGCCAACTGCTGGCCCTCCCTGCTGAATCCCCTCCCTTTCCTCCTTCCATGCCCCCATCCGAGGATGACGGCAGTGCCAATAACTAGCAGCACTTGCCCTGCACCTACTATGTGCAGACACTCCTTCAAGAGCTTTGTACATCATTCCTATATAGCTCAAACACCCAGTCCCACTTGTCTCAGACTCTTCCTCTGCTATTGCGGGCTGACCCGGCAGGGCTCTCCACACACCAGGAGGAGGTTGTGGTGCCTGACCAATGAAACCATCTAAGAAGTGGTGGCTGGTGCCGGGGTAGCTGGGACAGGGACCCTCTGGGCACAGAGGAATGAATCTGTTTTGTGACCTGGTCATGTTCCTGGGCATACCCACCCCCTTGTAGTAACTACACACTTCCAGACCCATCTATCCATCCAGGAATTAGACCTCCTCCTTTGTCTCAAAAGTCCATCTTTATTCAAGGTCTATCTCGGAGGGCAGTGCGCAGCTGCAGCCTGCTCGGGGTCACCCGTGCCCAGCAGCTGACAGGGCTTTGGAAGAGAGAGTGGCAGCTGCAGTGAGAGCCCTTGGAGCCCTGGGCTCAGGGCGTCCAACAGCTGTCATTCGACCTCCAAAGAGCTCGGGACGCCACAATAACTAAGGCGGGTGACTGCAGGGGGTTCGCAGGAGGTTAGGGGAGATCCCCACAGCACCTTCAACATCCCAGGCTGGGCCTGACACCATGCACTTTCTGCCCTTTCTAGTCAAACCACAGCAGGACTGGCAAGGATGGGGCAAGCCCAGCCCACCTGGGTACACACACACACAGAGGGTCTCGGCGCAGCACTTACAGCCCCTTCCTCCTTGCCAGGGGGGGCAGGCTTTGGCAGAGTCTTGTCCTCCTCTTTAACCTGGTTGGGGGGAGATAGATGAGGCAGTCACTGGCGGGTCAGAGCTGACAGACAGCACTCAAGTGACATGGCCTTACTGTCCCCAACAGCAAAAGCCACCTCTCCCCACCCCTGCCCTGTGGGCTTCAGCATGAGGGGTCCTAGGCAACAGTGGCCCCACCATGGGACCAGACCATCCACAGCGACTGCAAGAATGAAGAGCCTCTGTGGGGAGTGACAACCCCTACACTCTCCGTTGGTCCCAGTGACCTGCCCCCTTCGCCCACTGGGGTTGTTTCAGGAGGTCCACGCATGAGTGACATGGTGGCTTTGAGTACACAGTCACAAGAAGGACCCAGTGAGTTCAATAATGCTGAACTACAAGGCATTCAAAGCTCCGACTAGTAGGAGGGTACTTGAAAAAGCCCATGGAAAATGAAAGGGAGAGACATTTCAGGGAAAAACAAAAAACATTCACTTGAGGGGTTCTTAAGTGGGTCATTAAAAACAAGCATCATGGGGTCCAGCGAGGTAGCCTAGCACTTAAAGTCCTCGTCTTTAATTGGCCAGGATGCCATATGGGTGCCGGTTCTAATCCCGGTAGCCCCGCTTCGCACCCAGCTCCCTGATTGTAGCATGGGAAAGCAGTCAGGGACGACCCAAAGCCTTGGGAACCTGTGCCCATGTGGGAGACCTGGAAGAGGATCTGGGCTCCCAGCTTCGGATTGGTATAGCTTTGGCCATTGTGGCCACTTGGGGAGTGAATCATCGGATGGAAGATCTTCCTCTCTGTCTTTCTCCTCTCTGTATATCTGACTTTGTAATAAAAATAAAACAAATCTTAAAAAAAACATGCATCATGAAAAAATCATGCAAGGAGTTTCAATTTTCTCTTTCATTCTCTGTAAACGTTTTGAAATCCCCTGTGGTGGTGTGAACAAAGGTTGCTGATCCAGTGGCTGAGGGAGAGTGACTGAGGCCGGCATGGGTGCCCGCAGAAATGGGCGAAGAGGGTATGGGTGGCCCCCTCATGCTGGCACTGGCCAGGCCTTGTGCCTGGGGCCTGAGGGGATTTCCCTTGGCTCTTAATCCCTGCCAGACAGCTGAGCTTGGGCTGCAGGCAGGACACGGGGCATCGGGCACCGGCAGGCAGTCAGGAGGTCAGATATTCTCCCAGCCTCAGACCCGCAAAACTGCCAACCCTGCAGCCGAGGGAGGGAACCCCCAGGCTGGGGACAGGGTGCGGCAGGAGAGAAGCTGTGGTCCCAGGAACTGGCTGTCCAAGGCCAGAGAGAGGGGCAGAGTTGGGAAGAACAACAGACCCCTAACATGCCAGGTAAAGGGACGGACGATGTGGAAGCTCTGAGGGGCCTTCAGTTCCGACTGGCACGGAGGGCCTGGAGCTCGAGTTCCAAAGAGTCCTCTCTTCTCCTCACCAGCAAATCTGCTGCCAAGGCCCTGCCAGTCCTGTGGCAGTCTTTGGGGGTTTCATTTCTGTTCTTTCCCAGAGGTGGGCACGTGGAGGACAAGGCCTGTCACCAACCCCACCGGATCCTCTGCAGGCTTTTCTTTCCTGGCATGAGGGAGGAGTCCTAGAAGAACTCTTAAATTCCTAATGGATTGGAAACATCCAGAATCATTGACATTATCCACCTGGGGGTAGGAGAGTCTCTATTTTGGACCAGTGTCCCGTGGGAAATTTGAGCTCCAATTAGCTACCTTGGGGCACTGATCAACGGAAGAGGAAAAATGGCAAATATCCCCCAGAGAGGACTGGAGCAGAGAAGGGGGAAGGCGAGGTGCTGGTGCAAAGGGAACTGAGAGCAGCAGAGTGGGGGGCTGCACCTGCTGTCCCCTCCCCTCAGTCCTGCCCGCGGGTAGGCACACCATGCATTAGAGGTTAGAGGAAGAACGAGAAGCTCGCAAGCCACACACACACACTCATTACTGGATGCAGTGCTGCTAGCTCAGGCTCGGGAATGGCCCAGAATCCAAGTCCAATCCGCGTCCTTCAGGAGCTCCAAATGGGACCCCAAAGGGCCAGCCCCACGCAGGCAAGGCACTGGGGCAAACACAGCTGCCCCCAAAGTGTCTGGGACGCCACACCCAGCTCTGAGCTCAGCTCTGGATTTAGCCTCGGGTTGACTCATGGGTCCCTCCCTGTCCACAGGGTTCTGGCGGTGGTAGGTCATAGCCCAGCCAGGGACTGTACGCGAGCACAGAGGCACGCCCAGGGCTGCTGCAGCCTGGATCATCCTCTGCACCCAAGCGGCTGGCTCGCTCTTGGCTGACCCTGTCTTGGTCCCTTTTCCCGCTGCACACCTCACCTCCACAATCTTCTAGAGGTCTCAGAACCAAGTGGTGCCCAGCAGCCCCTACACAGCAGCCCACAACCCCGGGAGTACATCAGAGCAGCATACCGAGGGTGCAGGGTTAGCACAGAGGGGCACCAGAGGGACAAAAGGCGGCTCAGGTTACCCGAAGTGGGGAGGAGCGTGACTCAGCACTGGAGCCCATCAGGACAAAGGGGTGAGTTCACCAGCACCTAGTCATTCTCCAGCACCACACACATGCCCAAAAGCCTGTTTCTAGCTGCAAGCACACCATGCCAGATGCAGGGAAGACACAAAGATTCTGAAATCCAACTTTCCTTTTGCTCCCAGAAGGCGAACCTTGATGAAAAGGCCATGATGCCCAAGGTAGCCTGCACCCTGGGCCGGAGGAGACAAAGAGGGGCAGGGTTTCTCAGGGACTTGGTGTCTTCCTAAGGGCCGGGACCTCCCAGGGACAGACACTGTAGGAGAGAAGGAGAAAGGAGGGAGAAGGAATGGGAGAAGCAAGGTTACCAAACTCAAAAGGTCACATACAGGGTAGGGAAGTGATGGGGAAGGGGGCCACAGCACACAGAACTTCCTACCCTTGGAGGCTGTGTGTCCTTGAATAAGCCTATTTCCCTCTCTGGGTCTCTGTGGAGGTCGAGGGGCTGAACCAGTGCGGAAGATGGCTAACGTCCCTCCTAGGTCCAGTACTCAGGGAGGCTGGGAGAGACATTCCTGATCTTCAGACCACAAACCACATACCACAAAGGTTGAGGGACTGTGACCCTGGATGGGCCTAAGGCAGCTGTTATGCTGACCTGGCCACTCTGCTTTCTACCTGCAGGCCACAGTCATGTGCCTGTGACTGGGAGGCACAAAGGAGCCCCTCACGCAAGCTGGAACCCAGGGTTGCCCTCTTGAAAACCAGCCGTCAGAGTTCAACTCTGTTCATGAAATGGTCTCAGCTGTAAAACCAGTTCAGTTCAGTGGGCTTTAAGAACTGGTCCACTCGGGCCCAGCGGCGTGGTCTAGTGGCCAAAGTCCTCGCTTTGAATGCGCCGGGATCCCATATGGCGCCGGTTCTAATCCCGGCAGCCCCATTTCCCATCCAGCTCCCTGCTTGTGGCCTGGGAAAGCAGTCAAGGACGGCCCAAAGCCTTGGGACCCTGCACCTGCGCGGGAGACCCGGAAGAGGTTCCTGGTTCCCGGCTTCGGACCGGTGCAGCACCGGCCATTGTGGTCACTTAGGGAGTGAATTATCGGACGAAAGATCTTCCTCTCTGTCTCTCCTCCTCTCTGTATATCTGACTTTGAACTAAAAATAAAACAAATCTTAAAAAAAAAAAAAAGAACTGGTCCACTCAAGGTTGGTTTGTTCTTTTCATGGCAGAGAGAGCGAGTACTCCCTCCACTGGCTTACTTCCTAAATGCAGGTAACATCAGAACAGAGCAGCGGCTAAAGCCAGGAATTCAATCCATGCCTCCCTTGAGGGTGGCAGGAACCCAGTCAATGGGCAGGCGTTGCTGCCTACAGCCAGGCTCTGGTGCTGGCTGTGGAATCCAGGCCCTCCGAGGCGGGACACAGGCGTCTCAACTACTCGCCCACGCACCCTTTTTTATTATCCTAACAGTTAGCAATGGATTTAGAGTTTAAATTAGAAAATTTCTGGTTCCATCAATGTTACTAAGATTTATTTGAAAGAGTTACAAAGAGAGAGGGCAGGGGAGGAGAGACTGTCTATTCTCTGGTTCATTCTCTTGATGCCCACAGGGTCAGCACTGAACCAAACCAAAGGCAGAAGCATCTCCGGGTCTCCGAGCACTGGGCTAGGGAGCTGGATCAGAAGGGGAGCACCTGGGACTCGAATTGCCACTGACAGGATGGATGCTGGCATTACAAAACAGCTGCTCAATCATTTATTTTTAATTTGGTTGGCTGACTCTGCTTTGCTCTAGCTCCTTACTAATGCTCCTGGGAAAGCAGTGGCCCCACACCGCCCACAAAGGGACACAGTTGCAGTTCCACGCTCTTGGTTTCAACCTGGCCCAACCCTGGCTGGTACAGTCATTTGGGGAGTAAACCAACAGATAAAAAAGATTCTCTCTCTCTCTGAAATTTTGCCTTTCAAATAAATATGTCTCGAGTCTGGCACAGTAGCCTAGTGGCAAAGTCCTTGCCTTATACGCACTGGAATCCAAATGGGCACCAGTTCGAGTCTCGGCAGCCCTGCTTCCCACCCAGCTCCCTGCCTGTGGCCTGGGAAGGCAGGTGAGGACGTCCCCAAAGCGTTGGGACTCACGTGGGAGACATAGAAGAAACTCCAGGTTCCTGGCTTTGGATCGGCTCAGCTCTGTCCATTGTGGCCACATGTGGAATGAATCAGCGGACAGATCTTCCTCTCTGTCTCGCCTCGTCTCTGCATATCTCTCAATAAAAAGAAATAAATCTTTAAATAAATAAATAAACGTCTCTCTTTTTAAGTGTTCAATGAGCTCGTCTGCTCTATGATCTCTTGTTCACTTTTTCAGACTGTCCAGGGAGGTCCCACCTGCCCAGGGATAGTCAGCCCACTGCTTTGCATCAGCCGCTCCCTATGAACACGAATCCTTGGAACACGAATGTGGCCTTCTCCCCAGAAGAAACTCCCTCTGCAACTTTCGTGCAGAAGAGCCTGGATTTGCTCCTTTGCTTCCTTAACGCCA